GCAGACAGAGCGACAGACAAGCGTAGATCGGCGTAATAAAAGATGGGTCTTACTCAAGTTCTTCAGGGTGTTGCATACATCTGCAAAAACTTATACCTTAATGTACGCTTGTACCACATGTGGAGTAGGGTATGAAAATGTCATAATGTTAAATTCTTTTTTGTTGTAATCACATTGTAACTAAATCATTTTTAAAAAAAACATAAAAAAAAAAATTCAAAATTCCGCAGCAAAGCAAAGAATAAGTCAATGTAAGATCTGAATGAGTTAGAGTATGATCTTGTTTAGATGATGTCAGTTTTTGTCCGGACGTAACAAACGCAAAGGAAGAGAGAATAATTCATATTGACTGTGGCTGTAAAAAAGGTTCTTTTGTTCTAATTGTGCAAGAAACAGATTTCATTTTAACAGAAAAATATTTTACGATACAAATTGCGTGGCAGTTTACTTAAACTGGAACTTTAATGTGACGCGTAAACAAGCGCCTGTACATACATACATACACACATACATTCATTGTGCATAAATGTTGGATGTGTGCCTTGAATATAAAATTTTCAAATATTAAACCAATAATCGTTTTTCCATTTAACTATTTTTTATTTATTCATTTTATTATTTATTATTTATGAAACTCAGCTAAAATAAATTAGCAGCCGAATTCAATTGATTTTTAGAAATAAATCTTATACTAATTAATATTAAAATTAAGAAGTAAAGAAAAAATAATAAAAAAATTAAAAAATAATTCACGTATAAATAAATTAGAAAGAAAAAAAACATGTACACAATTAGCACAGAGGCACACCCGCAACTAGCACAGAACCAAATTGCAAGTGAATCCCAAAGCTATTGCAAACATGCAAAAGCTTGGCAACCGATAGCAGTAAACAACACAGGTTAATTTTCAAATTAAAGTGAGGTGGCGAAGTACGACATAAGTAAATCGCGCGTATTAGGCATGGTTGTTTTGATAGGTTTCTGCAAGCAACTTTAAACGGGTTAAACAGTTTATATATATATATTTGCATTAATTCATCTTAATGCAAATAAAGTGCCCAGAGAAGCGGTTAGGGGCATTAAAGCTTATCTCACCTAGTAACGTGGACAAATCGAGTACCGTTAATTAAGTTAATTAAGAAGGAGACACCAAGAATAAATCTACGTTTCCAAGTTACGGTAAGGATGACAGAAGCAACTTATTTTCGTAAGGAGACAAAGAGACAAGTGGGTCCCAACCCAAATTTCTAACGGCAAACTGCGAGAATTGTTTTTGAACGCATTCAATTCAATCTCCATAGTTCCTATAGGAAGAAGACCACACAACAGAAGCATAGCTAAGTATTGGTCTAACTAAGCACATGTATAGCCAGTCTTTTTGTAATGTAACGATCCTTAAGCTCTTTGGACCACCTTTTAATGAACCTGGCTTTACTTAAAGGGAATTCAATTTGCAAATTAAAACGTAATCTTTGATCGAATAGAACTCCTAAATCGATGAATGAATCTACGTTTGCCAATTTTTGTGTATTGAATCACTTTTTCTTTCAGAACGAAAGTTTCTTGCATGTATGTAGATTTAATTTCATAAAATTTAGTGAGTGCCATGTGACCAAATTATTTAAGTCGGTTTGAAACTAATACGATTGCGATTTCAAGGACAGAGAAGAAAACAGTTTAATATCGTCAGCTTACATTAATATATAGCTGGATTTAACCGCCGGGTGGCGATCATTAATTGATTAAATATAAGGGGTCTTAAGTGGCTGTCTTGAGGGACGCCAGACGTCACGGGAAATTCATGCAAGATGAGGAATGTAAAAAGAACATTGAATGATCTGTTATGCAGACAAGAGCTTATTCAGTTCACTAAGTACAAAGGGAATCCAGAGGCCTGGAGTTTGAAGATCAATAAGTTATGGTTAACTAAGTTAAACGCTTGGCTGTAATCTATATATACGTCGTCCGTGGGAGAACCACTAAAAAAAATTTTGAAACAAGAAATTCGTAATCCTTGTTCGTCTGTTCACAAAACCTTGCGGGAGTAGAGAAATATTAGATTTGCTAGCAAAAGCTAAATGCTGAGTAACAATTCTCTCAACAAATTTAGGTAAGGCACTCAACTTGGCAATGCCCCTATATTTCTCTAAGGACACTACTCTTGCAACGCAAAGGGAAAAGACTTGATTTCAAGGACTGGTTAAAAATCTTTGAAATAACATCAGAACTCGTTCGAGTATGATTTGGGCATACATAATGAAATGGCTTTAGAGCTCAAACCCTGTAAAACCACATTTTCTGAAATGACCAAGTTGGGAACTGAAACCGAGCAAGTTATAAGTTACGGATATTTAAGGATTAAATCGTAATCGGCAGTTAAAATATTTTGTCGGAAGTATTCAGCAAAGAGGTTTGAGGCTTCAATATTATCGGAGGACTCGGAATCATTGAAAAAAACCTACAAGGGATATATGGAGATTTTTATTTTTGACTTGACAAACTTATAAAAATATTTAGGATTAACAAGCAGTGAGGAGTTTATCAGCAGAAGATATCTGCAATAACATTGGTGGTTGAAATAATTAAATCAAAGTCTTGCAGAAGAATAAGCGATATAGTCATAAGATGAACCACATTTCAAAATTCCCAGCAGAAAAATCGAGCATAATGTGTGAAAGATAGGATTTATTAAAATAAAAATATTTATTTGAGGAAGTTGGATTTGACACATTAGAATGGTTCAACCGACCATCGCGTCTGTAATGGGAGGAAATGAAAATTGCTGGATGATACGAATCCTCAGGTAAACTAAAAGGTGGACAATTAAAGTTGTGTGTCGCTGTTGCTTACTGTCGCGCAGTGGTTATAAATATAAATAAAATTATTTACAACCTAACCTAATCTAAATAATTTGCTACGACGTCTTCGAAATGCAAACAAAATCAAGTCGTTTTTAACTTAATGCCGAAACGTCTTAATCCTTCCAATTGCATTGGTTGAAGATACAAATAAATCTGCTGAGATGTTAAGAAACGTTTCTTTAAATTCATTCGCCTCGTTGGCGGGTAGCGAAGGCTACGAGGGTTTCGAAATGCAAACAAAATCAAGTCCCAATTTAACTTAATGTCAAAAGTTTTTAATATCCATCCATATGATTTTAAATAAAGACTACATTTGTATTATATAATTATACTTGAATTAATTTCTTTCGCGTAACGCTTAAACAAGTTATTTCTAATGACTATCCGGCCGCAGGTATTTGTTTTGAATAAAACACAAAAGATTATGTCGCGGCATTTATTTCATTTTCCTTTCTCGGTTTAAGCCGCTTAGTGTTTTGGTGATATAATTGACAGTAATAAAGAAACGGTATTTGCTTCAACAGCACTTGCAAATTACTGGGGCTACTCGCTATATCTTTCTCCCCATTCTTCTCTAAACGACGCTATAACAAATATATAGGTGGCACCTCCTCCTAAGCATTTGGTCATACATACATGTGTATATGAATAAAAAATAAAACTAAATTTTTTTTAATTGCTTTCCGATTACATCAATTTTACATGGGCTCGCACAAATAAAACACTCGTTATAATTGTCCTAGTAAGCAGACATTTAAGGATTATTTGAGAAAACTCGGCATCGCACACGTAAACGTTGTAACGTTTTGTAAACGTTGTCGCGATACTAGGAGAGTTAACTGCGAGAGCGCAGCAGAATCTTAACGCGTGAAACAGTCCAGCTAATCTTGGTGTAACATTTGAACGACTGCGACTTGAAGTTTTGACAAAAGGGCATAGCGGGCCATACACTGTTTGAAAGGCATCATGTTATTATAAACGGAAACTTGGCGAGGCTCGATTCTAATGAAAAACTTTATATCTGCTATTCTGGAAAAATCACCATATTCAGCTTATTATTTCTCCGTGAATTTTGTTGCTGCTTTACTTATTACAAGTAAGGTGGCCTTTATAACAAACGATGACTCACGTGTGGGACATACCGTCTTAGGTAGTTATAAATTATATCCACCAATGAAGGCTGATAATTGTATGAAAGGCTTGTTTTTCCATTTGTAATATTTAGAAATAATACACACAAAGTGCACACAGTGGATCTGCTTACAACGCCTTGGACTTGTTCCGTGTTATATAAATCCATGTTCTACGAGTCACTTAGATCACACGAGTTCACACCCTAAAACGATTAACTTACTCGGTATATAAATTTGTCTAAAAATCAAACTTAAAACACTGCATGACAACAATTTTTATGATAGTTCACTAATAAATATTACTTCTCAGAAGAGAGAAAGAGAGAGAAATATATAAAAAATCTTCAAGATATATTTTCTGTCTCCTTCTTTTGTCATGTTATAGGAGCCTATTTTAGCGTGTTATACGAACACGGTCACAATTTTTCTGCCGTGTTGTACGAATCAGTCTTATAAGAAACACGTATTATGAAGTAATCTGCTGCACATTCTCGACGAGAATAGATTCTGATTTAATAATATCTACGTGAGTAAAGTTTCGAACTACTTTGAAATACAACTCATTTACTTCTACTTAACCTAAGATAGTCGATTAAGGCTGAATACGAAGGTCATTTATAAGTAAGCTGAGGATAAGCGCTAGGGTATAAAAAAAAACAAATCACAATAAATCAGAGATTATTGGCGAAAAATGATTTGTTTTTTTTGCTTTATCTGCCTGAGTGGCCGAAAGCGAGGAATTTCGGCTAGCAACTCAATGCTCGTGGATTCGAATCCCGGATGCTGTAGAGTTTTTAATAAAAGTCGATAGTTTGAGATGCTAGTGCTTTAAGAGTTTAGTCTTCGAATTTATTTCTTTGGTGAAATTAATATTAATAATAATAATAAACTTCTTTTGCTCTAAAGAAAAATTGAAAAAAATTCGAAAAAATTTGAAAAGGTGTATAAAATTTTATTAAGACAACATTTTAAGAAAAATGTTATTTCGATTTGCACTTTCTTTCAGCTTTAAATTCAAATGAACTACAACTTCTACGTGCGTATAATGTCAACAACAGCTGTTGCTGTTGTAATGTTGAAAGTAATTGTTCAACATTATTTTTCAAGCGCTTACCAAAGTCTGCTAAATATCTGATGTTTATGCAATCGTCGGATTGATTGTAAAAAACAACGAAAACAACGGGGAAAAGAAACTAATTGCAAAACTGCCCACGTCAGTGTGAATAAACCGAATAACAGCAACAGCAACAGCACCAGCAACAGCACCAGTAATAACAACAAAACCAACAACAGCAGCCGTAACAATCAGAAAAATAAAGCTATCAACAACAACAACAACAACGTCGTCAACCATAGTAGTAACTATAATATTGAAACTAATAAAAATAAAAAGAGAAATGGCCATAAATATATTGGATTATGACCATTACGCCATCAGTGCAATTGTAACTGTTAGCATGCAGGTGTTTTTTTTCTTAATTAACTCTATATTGCATATGGATAAGCTAACTGATTTTGCTGGTGGTCTCAATTTCATAATTATATCATTGCTGACATTCTTTCTCGGACAAATAGGTCGACCATCAAAGGTGAGCATTTTCGAAGCAACGAAACTAAAACTTTCTATCATCAGAGGTAAATAAATGCCACAACATGATGGACATGTTTTTAATGTACGCATCGTATGACTTTTAAGTTTAACATTTTTAAAATTACAAAACTTGCAAGCAGGAATGCGACCATTATGCTTATCTTTACAAACTTGAATAAAAGTCAAAAATATTGTCATGTTTAGTACATGAATTCGCACTTATATATTATATAATATACGTATGCCCCCGTATGCATGTATGCAAGAAATATAATGTCAAAGTAATCACTAAAAAAACTACTCTTTGTTTTTTTTTTGTTGTCAATTTTCATATCACATGTATACACACGTATGTGTATGAAAAGCAAAAAAGTTTTTGCAGGCAGTGACAAGAGCGACTTTGAACTTGTTAAGAACTCTTATAAAATGATTCACTTTAGGCGAACAAAAGCTGACTGACTATAAGGCACTTGTCTAACCTATGTACATAATATATGAATATAGATGTATGTGCGCACAGAGTATAAGTATATTTTATGAATGCAACATACATCGCTACTAAGGAAATGTCGTTTGACATATTTCGTGTATATAATGATGAGATGATGATGATGAACTATATTCATTTATGCGTACATGTATGAAAGTAAATTTTGCAATGGTGCAATGTCAGATACAAGTTCAAAGCGAAAATTAAGCTCTTCATTATTAGCATAAAGCACTTTGTTGTAACATATATTCTAGTTATAGACTGAACGTGAATATCTGATAGTATTCAACTTACGATAGTTTTGATAAAATTACATCGAAAGGACTTAGCAGCCTTTCCAAGTTCTTTAAATACACTTTTGCTCTTCTAATTGATAAATAAATACAAGTATAAATTACAATGATGTAAATGTGTACATATACATATAAATTTCATTGCCCTTCTCCTTGCTTAACAAGCACTTAAAATCAGCTTATGAAAGGAGCCTATGGTTTGTTATATATATATAAAATATATGTTGACGTTGGTCCATGTATTCAGGTATTCAATTTACGATCCACTATTTCTGAGATATTTCTGAGCTGGGACAAGCATGGAAACTATATACGAAAACTGTTCGGATCGAACTACTTTTTCGACCACTCCTCATAAAAAGATTTATTCTGATGATTTTATGAAAAAATAGTGTAGCTTTCACAATTTCAGGACAAAAATCGCTTAGTAATAATATTCGACATTCTCAATTGGTTTAAAGACAACCGTTCGTACGAAAATAAGGCCTTTATATGGTGAAGAGTGCTAACTTTCAATACTTCTTGACGAACATTCGTTCATAATAATAATTTGACATCAAAATTTATTTTACCGATTTGGAACACGTTTTTTTGGAACACAACCCATCTAAGGGTTGCAATGAAAATTAAGCCTTCACTTGCTAATAAAGGTCTAATTTTTAATATTTTATGATGGAAATTGATTTTTAGTAAATTAATCATAGGCAAATTGGATTAGATCGGTTGCTTTTTTAGACCGTATCGTATGTAGGGGCGGAAATCGTATAAAGTTCAATTTGCTATTTGTTATGATGGAAGCAACTGCAACATAATAAAGTCTTTAACAAGTAAACTAAGTTTGCTGAATTGGGATCGTTTTAGTTGACGTTTTGAGTATCCTCCCTTATGAGGGCTTTATGCATTTACACTAAAATAAGGTATAATTTCTTATGTATTATTAAGAATATGAGTGTATGACTGTATTAGGTGAAGTGGTGTAGGGTATCTAACGGACGGCCTTGCTCGATTATAGCATTCTTACTTGTGTTGAAATTAATTTAAGATAATCTATTTTAAAGCAGAGATTTTTTAGTCCTTTTTATACTAATGCATGGGATATATTGTATGGAAGCAAAGTACATAACGCATAGAAACACATATCGAAAGGTTTTTAAAATACATAACCTTCCGACCGTTGTATCAGAATCGATATAGTGCTTCTCAGCCAGCACATCTATGTATTAGGTGTACGAAGAAAAAATTCTGTAACATTATTCGTAAAATTTAACATTATTTAAAATATACTTGTTAAAAAGCTTAATAATTGATATATATACCGCCTGTATCTATGGACTTTTGCTCTTATCGGATTACACACGGTAGAGACTTTGTGGTGTCAAAGTGAAAAAAACATCGACCAATTATCGCATATCTTCGACTTGGCAGAATTAGTGCTATGCGGAATTGCTGATGCATCTGTCTGAAGCAGCAGTGGTCAGAAGCAGTCGAGTCTGGAGAATAGTTTTCAATCGGTAGAGAAGGTCTTAATTAAAGTTAAAGATTACATCTTGGGTTGCTTTTACTGGAGATAAACGAACCCCTGTCAATTTCATCGTTTCCAAAACGAAAAATTTTTGCATAAAATCTCGCAAACCATTTTCTAACTGTTTTGTAATCTATTGAGCTTTCGATCTAATGCAACTTAAGCCTTTTTTTCCAATTTAATCCAATTTGAAATATAAAACAAGCAAAAATACAGCAATGGGACACGGCCGACCATTAAATAGCTCACACCACGTTACAGTTATTCAACGCACATATTATAACGAATTTTCAAAATAAGTTGTTATATAAAAATTGTTCAGAAAAGTGGACCGGTCCTAGCTATTTTCAATAGCATTTGTCCTTGGGTTAAAACACGACAGTGTACCAAATTTCATCTAAATATCTCAAAAATGGCAACTTGTACAACATCGAAATACTTAGACAGAAATCAAATGGGATTTAGCCAAAATCATTTTCTGAATCGATCGTTACAATAAAGCCCTTCTGGGTGCTGCATACATTTGCATTAACTTAATGTACACTGTACCCCAACTCGTACAGGGCATAATCATGATTGCGAGCTACAAATTTTGCCTTAAAGAGTAAATATAGCCGCAAATGTTGATTTCATTGTTATTAAGTGGAGTAGAAAAGTCCCCTAAAATGATTCCTTGAAAACTCGCTGTTTTGGCAAAATTTCATTCTCAAAATTTTATAATTAACGGCTTAATTTAAGGCTTTCTTAAAAATTTTCTTGTCAGGTTGGGAAATCAGCTAAATCGGACAAAGGATTTCCTTATAAATAAATAAAAACCATGTACAAATAAGACAACGTAATTTGAACTTATATAGTACTCGGAATTTATCATTCGACAGATGCGCTTTAAGGAATATTGCCGCAATGTTTTCAGTGCATTTCATGCTGTGTTTATTAAGAATAATTTTCTTTGCTTAAAAATTTTATTTTTAATAAGTTAATCTAAAACATGCTTTTCTTTATATTTTGTGGTTGAAACTAAATTTTATCTGCTGAAGTGCTGAAAAAGTTGCAGAAGCGATGGAGCGAAGGTTGCATATCAAAAACGCAGAATATGAATTACATTTAAAGAAATCCGAATAGATCTGCCTGTAAAAGACAAAAAATGATTGCTTAATCAAATCAACTCGAATGATATCTGGGAATGAGTTCTGATGGAGAATACAAGTTTAATATCATTTATAACGTTTAATTAAAGTTTGGCGTCAAGAATGGAAAGCATAGGCACTCATTTCCCATGGAAACTTCTAATTAGGTTATGTTTTAATTCAAGACAGGTCAAGCGCAGTCCTGCAAGCGCTGTCCTGTAATGCGTCCTACTTTAAACGCGAATGAAAAGTTTAATGAAAACATTATTTTTCTCTTTAACAAATTCAGGCAGTTTTGTATACTCCTTCAGTCTCATATAGAAAACTCATTCCGTTACTCGTTATAAACGGGCCAAGTATAGCTTTCGTTTTTCGATTTTTTTTTTGCCACACAATACCTTTGAATATTTAAGAGGATTTCACTATTACTAATTAAAATTCCTAGATATGTTTGTACATTGGATCATTCGATGATTTATATACCAATTAGGGGAGATACTAAGACAAGGGCCATATGAGAGTATTTGGAATATATGTAATGCAATCATTGTCCTAAGGAAATTAGCCAATTATCAGCATATATCAGCTCTTTGAAAACTCTAGGTAATGCTTATTAAATCGATTCGTATTCTTGATTAGCTATTGTTCAACTTTATGCTTTAAACAAAGAATAAAAAAGTAACGCTAAATCGTCTGGCCGTTAGTCGTTTTATAGTAAAATAAAATAAAAATTTCTAGGAACAAGAAAAAAAGGAATCATTTTTTTTTAAAAATGGCTAAAAATTATTTTTCAACATATTTTACACAATATTTACGCTACTGAATTGCCTTTGAAAGATTTAAACACGATTATTATATATAAGTATAAAAGCATGTATATATATATATTTATTTTGTTGGTTGTTTTGATTTCATATAATCATCTCTAATAGCCATCATTATTTATTGTTTCTCCGTTTAAGTACAGTGTTTTGTTGACGTTTAGCCACTAATTACGACCAGAAAATTCATTTCCAAGGTACCAAGGGAGCGTTTTGTTGTTATTGTGGTACCACGCTTTCAAAAAAAAATAGAACATGTTTAATAAATATTGAAAAGAAAAAAAACCCAATAACAAAGTTAGATTAAAGTTATTAACCCCATACGTATATGTTGTAGCACAGGCACACGCATGTAGGTAAAAGCCTTCACCTTCTTCACACATGCATGCAAGTACATATGAACGTGTACCTCTATGAAAAAAAGGAACACGAGCAGGCGGCAGGTGTCTGTAAATAATTCAATTCCTTTGGATTATGACAAAAATGTATATGTGAAGAATTTTATCAGCTCACGTGTTAACTAAAGCAATTTATTACGAGTTATTTTTGTTATTATTTATTGTTGTGGCATTAATTTGAAAGCCTATGACAACACACTCATAACCAACAACTGTTAACCATGCAACTGTTGTTTTCTGTACGTGCGTATATGTAACTAAATGGTTTATGTTTACTCATGTGTGCAGGCCTACGATAGCCGTCAATTGATGGTGACATTGTTTGTATGCCTATGGGGAGCTCGTCTATCTGGCTATTTGTTATATCGCATTATTAAGCTGGGACGTGATAAACAATTTGATGATACACGTCGAAATATCATTAGATATGCTGTCTTTTGGACATTTCAGGTATATACAAACACACATACATCCATACATATACAGCAACGCAGCGGTTTTATATGATTATACAAATAATTATTACTTTATTATAATGCTTTCGAAGGCCGTTTGGGTTTATGTCGTTTCATTACCAGTAATTATAATTAATTCGCCACGCCATTCCCAGCCAAATGCTCCCAAAACAATGACTACCTTAGATTCAACGGGAACTGGTATGTTTATAGTGGGTTTATTGGCCGAAACCTATGCCGATCTGCAAAAGTTCTCTTTCCGGCAAGATCCGGCTAATCAAGGAAAATTTTGTAACGATGGTAAATTTTAAACCCGATTATACTCGCATACGATTTAGTTGATCTTATTCTTGAAACGTAGGATTATGGAGTTTATCTCGTCATCCAAATTATTTCGGTGAGGTTGTCATCTGGTGGGGAATATTTGCTATTTCGCTTAATGTTATTTCGGGCCATGAATGGATAGCGATAGCTTCACCGGTCTTCACTAGTTTCATTATATTGTTTCTGTCGGGTATACCGCTGCGAGAGAGGTCATCCGATGAGAAATACAAAGAGTAAGTATTGTTTATGATTTATTTCAACTAAAACTGAAAACTATATCCATATTACCATACGCTTACAGTCAATTGGAATATCGTAAATACAAAGCCTCCACATCTCCTCTTATACCAGTACCCCCCGCTGTCTATGTGGAAGTGCCGGCCGCCTTAAAGTTTATATTATGCTGTGAGTTCCCCATTTATGACACGATGCATATACAAAAAGACCTCAGTCCTTACTCGCTGTCAATCGCTCGTTCACAATCGCATATCTAGCAATCAATTGCGGGCCATTGTGGTGGACAGTCAGTACCTGGGGGAAGTCAATGTACTTCACACAAACACGGAGACACTAGCTCCATCCATCGGGGCCACTGCTATGGAGCGAATGGTGGCGATGCCGAAAATCATTTAAATTGTGGCGGCAGCTGCCGCAACTCATATATTAAATCTGGTAATCCTTATCAAAATGGCTCGAATTATGGTTATGCAGCGTATGCTGTTAACACTTCTCTGGAAATACCGACACCGCCACCACCACCACCGCCACCTCCTCAAAGTGTTATTAAATTAACAGAAGATGACGAGGACCTCGATGGTGTTACCTTTATGCCGGGGCAATCATCACTAAAAACGAAACAACCACATTATTTTCAAACTTCTACGCCTACAACTGCACTTGAATATGAGCAACAGTCTGCCTCCTATATAGACGGAGTTGAAGAAGAACAACTTGAACCAGAGCTAGAGGAAGATTACCATGAAGATATATCGCCTATTGATTTAAGTAAACCGGCCAGCGTTGAAAGCTTTATAGTTAACGAAATTAGGACCGAAAAGGAAGTACAAATGAATGCCGAGGGTAAACCCATAACTGTGACGACAATATTGTGATTTAATCCGTACATTGTCATAAGCATAGATATGTACAAGCATATACATGCATGCGTTTATTTTTTTATTAACATATACAGGATTAAAATATATACTATGCTCAGTATACTGCAAATGTACATAAACACACCCTAGAGACAAGTAAAAAGAAGATTATATACATCTTTTCGGATCTTCGATAAAAATTGTGTTATGTTTCTTACAAAATTTAAATGTGTTTTGTAGACGCTCGATTGTAGTCGGTTCACATACAGTTTTGTTAAATATTTGCAACATACTTTATAATTAGTTTTATAATAATTTAAGTCGATCCAATGTAATCTTTCCAACTATATTCTAAAGATTTTTTTACGAGAATTTTTTCTTTTCGATGTCTTACTTTCGAAATTATGTAGTTATGGCGTGTATATCCGTACGTGGAATCTATTTATTTTCAAACGCAACATCAATAATCAAATAAAGCTCCGTTCTCAATTTCTCTTTTTAGAAACTTGAAACATTCCAACAATTGTTTCAAAGAGAAGGATATGTCAATTTAAAGCGCTTATAAATTTCCAAACCGACTAATGAAATATACCTGTCTTTGATGCACATTTTTTTTCTTTTTTTTCATAAATATTTACTTTCTTGGCCGACTAAACTGTCTGCTCGTGGATAGAAACCAAGAACAGAAAATGTAGATTGATGGATACAATCTAATATTAAATAATAATATAGTAATAATATTAAACGCAAAGACGATGTGATGAACACTTAGTTGAGAGATCACTTTGTTAAAGTAATTCTCTTCATTTCTGCTGCTTATTTAATCACTTTCTCAAAATTGTTTTTCTTTAGCTAAAGTACGTGAACGCATTTAGTAGTTTATGAAAACTTTTAGAAAATAAGTTCTAATTTCAACTCCTTAAATATAGTTTCACTTTTCGGTAGGGATTTTTACTTACCCATCAAATTATTTGTGTATTTTAAAGGAATCAAAACTAATTGAGTTAATAAAGGCATTATGAGCAAGTTCGTTGGTTTCTTTTTTTCCAAGTAGAGAACACTTAGCACGAACATTTCATTTTTTCAGTACCCAGGTTTCCCCAAAAATTAGTAATTAATGAAACTTGAAATATTTGTACAGTTTGCTTGATGGATTCCGTACAAAATTCGTTCCAATAAGCAAGACGTAATAATCTTTTAATATTTCTATGCATGAGTAGCCGAGTAGACGAAAGGATCGCAATTAACAACTCAACAGTTGTGGGTTCAAATCTCAAGTGTGGCAGAGTTTTCAGTAAAACGGATTATACGATCATTAATCCGGCAGTCTTTAAATCCTTACTTTGTAAACTTATTAACAAAATATACAGACAATAAATAAATAAACAATTCTATCCAATATTCTAGAGGAAATATAAATATAAAACGCCTAATCAGTTTTACAAGTAAACCATGTTTCTGCCGGCAATATTCGCTTCGCCTCGAATATTTTAAACTACCCTTTAATAAAATTCTATAAAGTTTGAAAAGACACCATAATTCACGGATTTTGCCTGAACTACACTTGCCAAATCTTCAACTTAAGTACTTATTTCTTTGTACGGTCAGACTTAGTTCAATTCTTTATATATGGATGAAAAGTTGTTAAAGATTGCATCCTTGATAATTATAAATTAATATATTAAGAAAAGAAAGGAGAAAAAGATTGATTTTAATTGAATAGCGCAATTCATGAATGTGAATGAATTTCACAGTCAGCATTTGACCAAAAACATATCAAAAAGTAATCCCAAACTTGTGTTAAACCCAAAATGGTTAGATTTATATGAGAATAGATATCGTTTTCTAAAGTATAAATACATAACACATTATATATATGTATATATATATATATATACATAAAAATATAAACGTAACATAATTATAACAATATAATGCATATATATATATATATAATATATAAGCTGGCAACACATTAGTGGGACGTTGCCCACCATTAAATACCCTACATGGCTTCGCTTAATACTAAGGTTTTACATAAAGAATGATCGAAAAAGTTGTCCGATATGAAGCATTTGCAATAGCTTTCGTTTTTCATTAAAATATCTAAAAGATTGCTATCTGTAAGTTGAACACAGGAAAACAAAACGGAGAGAGGGACAGACAACCTTATCGGTACAATAAAAGTTGAGTCAAACTCAAGTCCTTCTGGGTGTTGCACACATCCACGCAAACTTAAGATACTCTTATGCCGCAAGTGGCGTAGGGTATAAAAAATAATATGTGTTAAAAAGAAGTGCCAAAATATAACTGTAAATATGCATGCGTACCAAGGTATTTCAAATCTATTATTAATTTAAATTGATTATTTCTGATAGATATGTGTACATATATATAGTAGTGCTCGCATGTATTTTGATCAGTATCATCTATTGGCAAAAATGATATAGTAATGCGACGGCTCATTAAACACAACAGTTAAGTTCGATGATTTTAAATTTTTTCTATATAAAATAACAGTTTTCCATTTAATATTATTGAGTTATTTAGTGTATATCAGCGCTAATGCTCAAAATTATATATTCGACATTCGTTACTTTTGTTGTTTGATTTGAACAAAGGCGAAGCCCCTTTTAGAAGCTTGTGGTAATGCTACTTCATCACATCCCAATTGTTGGTTTGTCAACAATTTAAAAGCGGCGATTTTGATATCAGTAAGAAAGAATGGCCTGGAGGAAGAAAAAATGTTAAAGACAATGATTTGCAAGACTTATTGAACCATAATGCACCTCAAGCTCTCAAAAAATTTTCTAACAGCTTAGCAGTTGATGAATTAAATGTTTCTAAATAGTTACCTGCGTTGGGAAAGATCGAAAAGTGGCCGAAAAGAAAGGACATTTTTCTGTAATTGACGATCAAAAGTGGATCTACTACAACAATCCCAAGCGAATAAAGTCATGGATTAGTCCAGGAGAACCGTCGACATCGAAGCGAAATATTCGTGGTCACACAGTTTTGCCTCTTGCATGATAACGCTCAGCTATACGATGCAAGAATTGTCAAGGACATACTGTCGTAGCGCGAATGGGAAATTTAATTGCACCCAGGGTACTCACCACACTTACCGTCTTGTGATTACCACTACTTCATGTATATGCACCATGGCTTGGCTGGCACGCGGTTTTGAAATGTTAAAGAAACGCGAAATTGGGTCGATGATCGGACCGCTGCCGAACCAATATCGTTCTTTCGACTCCATATTGCCTATGGCCATATTGCCAGAAAGATGGGAGAAAGTTGGAGTAAACGATGAAAAATATTTTGATTAATATATATTGTTTTTCTCAATAATTGCCTAGCCAAAGTGAAATAATGGTTAAAATACATGCAATTACTTAACAGGAACAGTAAATAAAAATAACAACAAATTGCTACTAATTGTGCCTCTTATTTACACTCAATTCGAAACACATAGACATAACATACTAGCCAACAATAGCCAATTTCTTATTTTGAGTACACGTCTAACTAGAAAATAACTTTTACTTATTTGTTAATTGTTAAACTAAACTTTTTGGCCAGATACATGGGTCATTGCAGTAAGCTATAGTATTTAAAAAATTTGTATATAATTGCATATGTATAAATACGTAGATATATAAAAATATAAACATATAAACATAAGCTATGAGCGCAATCTTAAGTCCGATCATGTACTAAATGAAAATAATGAAAAGAAAGAAATAATGAAAGAGTAGATTTTTCTATTTAAGCTGATTATGGAGGCTTTCAAACGCACACTGCTTGATAGTTTAACTCACGTAGTGAATTATGTCGAGAATAAGTCGCGATTATGTATATTTTATCACACGTTTGCATGGTATAATAATGAATTACACCTCAAAGCTCACCCTAAAGTAAAAATTTATTGCGAAATAGATGCTTTGAATGGAAGATTTCTGAACGCTATCTTAATATTATACTTGATCACAATCTTGATCTTCTGTTTTTAAAAGCGAGAAAACAAAATAAACATGTAGGAATATTATATTTGATCGTCACCGCATCTTTTATACCCATCACTATCCTAAAAAGGACAAAAAAGGTAAAAGAAGTACATTTTCATTTTCTATAACATGAAGTAGGCGCGGCTGATTTTTTCTATTTTCAAAATAAAAGTTTTCGTCACATAGGTAAGTCCTTTGAAAAGTTTGGATCACTTCTAAATTCTTTTGGAAATTTGTAAGGGATCTCTTCATTTTCGCTAACGAGGGAATATTTATGGCGGACCTTGCACAGACGGACATGCTTAGGAAAACATGCTCTTGAAAAAAAATATATGGTTTTGTTACACTACAATATGGGGTATGACAGGTAAATTTTTTCCATTTTTGTGAAGGGTTACGCATCGTCCATGGAATATGCGTTTAAATTTTTGTATGTTTAGCTGCTATAGTTTATGAGTAATGAGCAATCAGTTTACGTGGTGTTGTGGACCTGTCCTTCGACCGATGTAGCCCATTTACAATATCAACTTGCGTGCAAGAACTTCCAATGTGCTTGGTTCAGTGATAAGAGAGTTGGCGAGGTAGCAGTTACGACAATTCGACATCGCATTACGGCGTCAGATTCTTTAAAAAAGACCCTGAAAACCATTTATATTTTTATGTGAAGATTACATAGAAAATAAGATATCGCTCGGTAATGCCAGCAAAACAGGTTATTCTGGTGTTCAATTCAATATCAAACTAGGAATAATGAACCCATTTTTTCTGCCATGAAGTCTATCGCAAAAAAATTGTAGCATCCCTTTTGCATCACATGCCGTTCCAATCATATTAACATTGGAAAAACAGATAAAATCGCACACGTCGTATAAGGCCGCGCATTAAATATCGTATACCACTTCGGCTAATATAGTTTTGTTTTTGTTTTTGTGGTAAAATGCCAAAAATGATCCCTTGTTGCCACGTAGAATGGAAGTGGGTTCATAAAGTGAACTGCCGTTGCCTATATACACTAAAAAAAAATTTGTTATCAAAGATCTTATTATTCGTGACTTCTGTTCGTCAGAAAATTCTAAAAATTAGTTTTTTTCGCCAAACAAAATCTCACTTTTTATGAAAACCCTTACACAATCGAAACATGCGATCCAACTTCTTCACATCAATTTGATACGCCCGCACACTAATAGTCAGCAATTTCTATCGTGAAATGTTGAAAACTGCAATTTTTCTTAATTTCAGTAGCTTCCATCCTATGGCCAAAATACGACATTGTAATTAATTCGTCAAAATATCTCAGAAATTTTGGAAATTTGGAAATTTAAGTTGAACACAAAAATACGGAAAATCTCCAAATAACAGACCGACGGATATGCTTAACTAGATTCCTATAATAAATTTGGCATCGATTGATATAACGTAAAGTGAGTAAGGGTACAACAATATCTATCCTTTAAGATTAAGTTACAATTTTATGTGAAGCAGGCCAAAAAAGATGAATAGGCAAAAAAACAACATAATTGTAGGACATTGATGAATTATGCCTGGCGCGTTGCAACTTTGAAGGGACAAACGGTCATATAATATAAATTTTAAGCATAGCCGACCCGATACGTAAACGAAGGCAAATTTGATGTCGGTGCCTGCATTTTTGTGGACCGGAGAATGTTTACAGCAGACGGACAGACGAACATGCTTAAATCGATGTAGAAGTTGATGCTGATCAAGAATATATATACTTTGGGGGATCTCTAATGCCTCCTTTTGGGCTTTCCAAACGTTTTGACAAAACGAATCCTTCTGTGATGGGTATGAAAAAATTAGATTTTGTGTTCATTACTAATATATTACAACAAATGTATCGATAAAAATCGCATCGGATATTTAAGCATGGTACTACTACAGCCGCTATACAAATCTGGAAAAAATGAAACACGTTCGACACAATCGGAAATTTGTAGTAAACTTTAATTTTCTTAATATTGCCGTTAATATAATTCACTTTTCATTAATTAAAGAGATCAATTTCTCCAGAAATGAATACTTTGGTTTATAATTTAGGAAATATGTACATATTTTACTGTTTTGACCGTTTGAAGAGTACAAGAAAAAATAGCGAATTTACTCAATTTTGTTATTAACTTATATATGCAATTTTTTTAGTGAAAATCACTTCCTACCTTATCTTGGCACCTTCATTGCCAGTGTTGAAAAGGTTGAATAAGGCTTCGCAATGTTTTAAAAAGACTTTTTAGTGCTTATTACACTATCGTTACAAATTAGTGCCGAAAAAGTTAGGGGTATTTTTTACGTCTTTTTTTTTAGTAATTGTTAGCAAACGCGATCTTTATTCTGGTGTAAGCTGTTTCGTAAGCAGATATTCATGTAAAGTGTTCCTCATATGGTTTTCTACATATATATCTCTAGTTCTCGTTCATATAAAATTTTTTACGGCTTTTCGAAAATTCTGAACTGTCAGACGGATGGACTGACGATTTATAAAGGAATTACATTTTACATATATATATATATATATATATATATATATATACATTATTTGTATATATATTATTGTGTGTAATATAATATATATTATTGTAATTATTTGTGTGCTCAAAGAATATAAATTTCAGAATATCAAAGAATTTTAAATTGAAATCTTTTTGTTAAGATATTTCAACGATGCATGATCGGCTTGAGACCTACGTCGTCTATGGCTGCATGTGTATAAAATAATCAATTATAGTATTTAGTGTATATTTAATGAAAAATAAGGAAGTCTTTCAACGTTCACCTATGTGTGTGTTTACATGATATGCACTAACCCACCCAAATTTCATAATCGTAAACAACCAATCAACCGAATCAGTATCAATAGTTTTAAGATAAAGAATTCTTTGTTAATAACAGATTTTTAATAATGTTCGATAAATACAAAACCAACAAACACAAAATAAGTGCATACTTTGTTGCATCATCGTAAAAAGTCTATATTTTTAATACAACATATATTCTGCCTGTGTCTATGAAAAATTATTTATTAAACAGATTTTAGAAATAGTTATAAACATATAGTTGAGAAATTTTGAAAAATAAAATAACAAAATTAATTACTTATGTTATATTCGCTTAGGGATTAATCTTTTTTGACGTTTTCAAATTGATTTCACATGTTTTTTTATTAGATGCGGAGAGTGGGTAAGTCGATCGGGATTTCCTTCGCACTGAAGTTCTAAGCAAATTTAAATATGACATTTGACAAGTACAAAACACTATAGTGAATCGCGGCCTACCATTAAATACCCTACAACGTTCTATAGTCCCATTCATATAAAAACTTGCTAAAAAAGGTAAAGGGAATAATCGAAGGTGGTCCCATCCGAACCATTTTCAATAGAGTTTGTGCTTGGACTAAGCAAGTCAGTGTATCAAATTTCATCAAAATATTTCAAATATAACGGTCTATGGTCTGAACAAAAAAAGCAAAGCTCGATGGACGAAGAGACAAGCTTAAATCGATTCACAATGCGATTCAAAACGTAATTCTGAATCGATCGGTACAATAAGACTTGGTTTCATCCCAAGTGCTTCTGTGTTGCATGCGCAAATCTTAATATATTTCTCACAAATAATTATATGCACAAATATGGGTTTGTTTATCCCATCCAAATATTAATGGTAAATTATTTTTGGTTTTGCAATATATTTTTATGTCTCTCCTTTTATCAAGCGCTTCCTTCTTCGTTCGTCATTACATGTGTTCCAATTATCTGAGGTTATCGCAGCAAGCAAATACAAAATAAATAATTAATTAACTCTATGTGCAATTATCACCATTCCAGTCTACGCTCCTGAATAGCGAACACTTCAATTTTCACTTCCTGTTTTATAAAAAATATATTTTCTATTTTAAAGAAAAATTGTATGCGTGGATTTGTTTCTAATCGAAAATGCCACACGGGGTGAGCTTTCCGATGAGGAGTGCGTGAAAATTGAAGGAATGAATATTGCTGATAAGAAAATAGCGAGCTAGCTCTATTCTACATCGCATTACGGCGTCAGGTTCTTTAAAAAAGACCCTGAAAACCATTTATATTTTTATGTGAAGATTACATAGAAAATAAGATATCGCTCGGTAATGCCAGCAAAACAGGTCATTCTGGCGCATTCCAGTCCAGTTTAATATCAAACTGATAATGAATCCATTTTTTCCGCCTTGAAATTTACCGCAAAAAAAATTGTAGCATTCCTTTTGAATCCTATTTCAAATCGTAAACGTCGTGCAACTTTGAAGGGACAAGCGGGCATATAATATAAACATTAAGCATAGTTGACACGGTACGTAAACGAAGGCAGATCATATTGTTTTAAGAATTTTTGAAAATCCGTGGGAGCATTACGCCTGCGGTTCCATGCCAGTGTTTCGCTGATCAGTAAGTTTGTGTAATTAATGCACATAAATTACGCTCTCTCTAATTCTCTAACTGCGCAGCTAAGCCAGATGAAAAGTAACGTCTTAATTACGACTTAAAGTAACTGGTTTTCAATTCGTTTCGTTAGGAGGCCTTTAGTGTAACGTTGAAACCATAAACACACAAGCATTCAAGGTGCTGTTCGCGAGAATTGTTTAGTATTAGTAGATATTTTTTTATACGTTTAAAAATTCTGATCCTAATATTATCGATATTAGCACCACGCTTGCATAAATTGTAACCAAACAAAATTAAATGGTATCCACTCGCACTCATGGACTATATTATAATTTCGACTTGAGACTTTTCGTAAAATATTTTGTAAATTTTTAGCGTGTACTACTCCCCCTCATAATAAAAACTTTTCGCTATAAAAATTAGTTTTTTCTTTTATTTTTTCACAATAAATTTAATTACTGAAATTGCGTAGTCGGTTAGTAAATTGTAAAGAATTTAAGAATTTGAGTATATATAGTAAATACATAATTATAAAAAATACTATAGACAAAACTGAGCTGTGAAAACTTAAATAAAAGCGAAAGAATTTATACTTGATGTAAACCAAACTTGCTTATATCCATCGCCAGTTTGGAATTAAAGGAACAAATCTTTAACAAATTATAAATATGAATACCGGAGAAATTTGCGATAAAATGGACTGCCGCCTATAAGAGTATATCACTGGAGAAATGATTGAGTTCGTAAATCACGACTTTAGTAGATAAAGAGGTAGACAACCGGATATGGCCCAAGCGATCGCACTATTCGCGCTCAACTCGAATATGCGGATCGTACAAGACTATGTATCAAATACCTTTTTCCATTTATTAAAAACATTAACAAAATTAATGGACCATGTGCAGTGGATATAATAAATGTGTTTGTATTTAGCAAGTTGCTGACGTAAGGATTGTATGAATTGCTTTTAATGAGTACGAAAGTAATTTTCATAGGGATACGGCTTTAGAGAGTAAAACATTAACATCCATGAATGGGTAGTTTTGTAGTAATTTGACATTGGAAGCAAAATCGTTTTGCAATATTTGATCACGTTGTATTCTGAAATGACAAATAATTTAGTTGTTCAGTTGAGCAATTTTTTTAATTATGTTAGTAAACCAACAAAATCATAGCACAGCAAATCTTTAAGAGAAATTGAAAGCGCTGTTCGTCTGAGAATACCGAGTCCCAAATCCGCACAACATCGGGTAGCGGAAACTCTTGTGAAAGTATTAACGAAATCCATCTATAAGGATTTAACCTAGACGTTATTTCATAAAAATGAAAAAATTCCAAACACACCTGAAGCTATAGTATTGCGGATGTAATTCTTGGCTTTTAAGGCGTTCATAGATTTGCAAATCCCGTTCTTGAAGCATTTGCGATAAACGTTTCATCATGTTTTTGATGCCGCCCTCTGAGTCATCGAGGGTTTTTATAAAAAAATCACGCATTTCAGCCATAAGAGCCGTAAAGCAAAAGAAACAATCGGCTTCAGCATGTTCTTTAATCGGTTAGTAAGAAATGCATGATAGTAAACACAAAAAAAATTTAATTACGAACAAAACCCACCTCTATAATCGGGGTCTGGATCGGATGCCATTACATAGTAAATAGGACCAATAATTTCATTCATGCCTTGAACGTAGCTTTGCCCAGGATTTAATTTTGCGTATAAAAATAAAATCCGTTGAACCACCTCCCAATGAGCTTCTTGGCCTTCCTCCATGGCCTCATAAGTTTCCTCGGAACGTTTTGTAATAAGATTTATCTATTTAGAAACGCACAATTAACATTAGCAGGGCTATCATAATTAGGTTTTGTATAGATGCGTAAGAAATACCTGCTACTTTGGGTTTATGAATGCATGCATTTGATGCAAAATTTTTAATTAATATATTTTTTATATATTCACGGCGATTAACTTTAACAATTTACGAGGAAAATCCCCTACCTTCGTTATTCCCAGTCCCTTACGTTCAACATTTGCTGCCTTCAGCACCGAAGGTACTACCCTTTGGTGCAGTCGGCGTTCACCGTTACTGTTGACTACAATGTCACACGGGTACTCTGTGGGCTGTTGGAAAAATGAAATGTCCGGGCACAAACGCCGTACATCTTTATCAATTTGTAGGAGGAATTCATTGTCATTGAAGAAGATATTCCATGCACTCTCAGCGCCCTCACTCAACGGATGATCATTCAAGCAGTCACTTTTTGCGTCCAACTTGTGATCTTCTTTTAATCCCGGCGGCAGTACGAGCTCTTCAATAAATTGTCTGTACAGAGCTCTCTTTTTAGTCAAAGTTTCTTTCCAACTTTCTCTATTCGTCCCCAAATAACCCAACAATAATTTCCAGCAATGCGGTCTTAAGCTTTTCACATCTGGTATGCCTGTTTATGTAGTAATAGCAGGAAGACATCCATTTAAACATGGTTTGACAATTAAAAAAAAAAAGAATAATTTTATTTAGTGTTATCCCTTTGACCGGTTTGCATGCAGATATATGTACACACCATTGAAGCACAATTGCCGTAAGTAACTTAGATCGATCTCATCTTCGGCCAGAGCATCTTCGAATTCTTTAACGCTTCAAATTCATCGTTCAAAATTAAATATATTAATATTATTTTTTTTTTTTTTAGTTTAATTAAAGAAAGTGCAGAAATTTTCTTTTATTACCCACCGTGCTTTAAAGACCGACATACTAATATCGTTCTAATGAAATCTTTTGTTGCTGCATTTCAATGAATAATGTAGCGAGGGTTACCAACTTCTTTTAGCGGATAATTTATGGGTATTTAATAGATTTAATCACACCTCTTCGGACTTATAACAAAATTTTTTAGATAGGCATTATGCTTTACCAACGTTAACAAGATAACGAAAAAGGCATTTACTTTAACCAGTTCTTTATGAGTTCTGAATTGAAGTAAATATTGAAAGAGATTAAAAAGTACATTTTTACGGATAAGGAGTGAACTAATGTTAATCAATTAAATTGAATTGAACGTCTAAGCAAATATACATATATGTTTGCAATCCCTTAGAGTATAAACTTCGTAAGCAAATAAAATTTTTTCCCCTTTTTTTTTAATTTCGGGATAGCAATTTCTTCGATCGTAACGTTTAGATCGTATAGAAAAATATGGTATCAATATATAAAATTTCAAGTACTTGTGATCCTAATAAGCGGATGTTAAGGGGCGAAATATTTAAGTTTGCTTAGAAAATTTTAACCGATTTCTTTTTTATTCTGAGAAAAAGGGAAAAGAAGATTTTGTTTTTTAATTTCTTAGATGAATCAATAGACACATCTTATTAGCTTTTGAAATTAACATAATGAGTTCTTATTTGGAGAGATAAGCAGACAGGCAAAATGAAGCAAATACATTCTTGTATTCACTTGTATGTTCGTATAAAGAGTATTAAAAGTTTTTCCGTGCCCCTTCGTTTCTTAGCTAAATTTTTGAGCTGTGATTTTAAATTGTTGGGAAAAGAGAAGAAACATTAATCAGCATAATTTATCGATCAGCATAATTTATCGTTGACGCTAGGTTTGGAGAAGACAGGTAAATGCCTGTAGTTCATTTGGAAGGCTAGATGCCAACTCAATATATATAAGCCTCTTATTCTAGATAAGCAGCCGAGATTGTATGTATGTACGTCAATTTATTAAAATCATGTTTACCACCTGAAAGCTTTTGTGCAAAAGAATATGTTTCGCTTCACATAAAACCTTTCTTTATTAAGTCCAAAGATTAGATAAATCGTTTCGCGAATATGTTTAAGACAATGGCATGATGATGAAGCAAAGGAGGCTTTTGAATTAAAGATCGAATGTTATTTTAGAGATTTAAGTTCAATTTAAAATTTTTCTATATAAACATAAATTTTCCAGAACTGTCTTGATCGAAGCACTGCAATATGTAAAAAGTTTTAATTGTTTTTTTTTTCTATTACTTGCTTGTAAAGATACAGATGATTCAAGGCTAAGCATGTATTAATATTTATTTATCAGAAACATTAGTATAGCCGATTGTGTGGTTAGAAGGTGAAGGCACCGCTGATGTCGGTGCGGGGGTATCGTAAAGCAAATAAAACCATTCTCTTTTATGTTTCATTACTTATATACATTACCGATCACGATACTTGCTCATCTGCCATTAAGAGATAAGATGATTTTCTCAAGCATTAAATTAATGAAAATCGATGCGATGCCAATGAATCAATAGACGTCATAAGACAAATTTTGAAAGCATCTGGATTTTCGTATGTAAGTAAATAGCTAGATGGCAATGTGGACAACGTATCAAAAAATATCGGAAGCTTTCATGTGGAGTTTTGGATGTAATATTACTATGGGATAAAAAAGATTACATTTTGTTTTTTAATCCATATGAGTGAAGTATTTGTTGATCATTGGTTAACTAAGACAAACCGGCTCTGCTGTATACAGATGATGAGCGCATTTCATTTAAGTACTGAAATTTCGTATTTATTTCAGTTTCTATCTATTTACTCAAAAAAGCACAATATACATTTATATATATATATAAAATTTGTATGTCTATAATTAAAAGCAAACAAAGAAACAAACAAATTTATTACTAAAGAAATATGATGGAAACTAAAATTTTTCATAAACATTTTTGAAATGTTTCTCAATTGAGAAACGTCTGCGAAAAGAAAGCGTCCGTGTACGGTGTATTGATTCGTGCGCCAAGTTCTACGAATATAAATATGATTAGAAGAATCGGTTACGCGTAGGACTATTACATTTTATTGCACGTTAATATATGAGAAAATTCTATATGGAAAAACGACCATCATTTTGGAAAGTGCCTGAATTTGGATTGGATAAGCAGCAGCAGGCAGTAACTGGTACAATTAAATCAGCCTTAATTAAAACGCATTTAAAACAACACAATCGTATACAAAAACATGTCCGCTTTAAAGATGGCTATGATAAGGAAATGAAAGTAAAAATAAGAAAAATAATTATTATTTCTTTTAAAAGCAAATTAAAAACGCCAGTTAATTCACTGTTTGTTGCTCGATCAGATTGCACGTATCACGCATAGTCTCTATAAACATTTATTACACAGTTTTAAATAATACGAGCTGATTCAATTTTGCTTTCAGTTTGTTTGTAAGTGTGGCAGTAGATTTAATTTGGCAAACGATATATGTGTGTATATAAAAAACACACGCAAAATACATGAACGCATTTTCTATACTACATCATTTTGGCCCAATTAAATCTGTTCGTGCTTGTTTTCTATAATAACGGTAATGTGCTGTAGCTGCTTTTCATTTATTAACTACAAAATTCGTACGTTACTTGGCCGAGCAAATGCTTTGCCAGTTAACGCAATTGGAATAAACGCAAACGCCTAACAACGTTCCCGTTCAATTAATACGATCGATTCGAATAACTTCAATAATCACTGATTTACTGCATTCATTGTAACGAGTATATTTAAGTAGGTAATCGCTCAACGGGAAATTTTATAAATTGTATACATATTCTTAAGCGACTTAGCCGTTGATTTCAATACTCAAAGCTTTTTATGAAGGAACTAAAAAACTTGGTCGGATTCTCATTGTCCGATAAAATTCGACAACCATTATAATCGGTTGAGAAGTTCGCAGTCACAACTAGCAAACATATCAAATTTGGATACTTTCGCTTACTTTGTGTTGTATTTACTAAATTATCTTTCCACTACATTTACGCTTTCCGTTACATGTTACTTCAGGTTTGAGTTATTCATAAGTTTGCCTATGGAAATCAGCATTTCTTTGAAAGGTCTGTTCTTACGGGAGGTTCACTTTCAAGATACCGTCAATAGTCATAGAAAATTGGGCGAATCATAGCTCATTCCGACTAATAAATGAGAGCTATGTGAATACCTACTCTTTGTTGTTTATTGGTAAGCTTCATTTCCCAATTGAAATGAAATTGAAAAGTCACCCTGTTATTAGGATCTCGCTAGTATACTACTTGACTGACTATATGGACACCGCATCTGATAGACTTAGATTTTGGCTATTGACACGGTTTAGTAAAACTGTGGGTGGATCTCCGAAATGACATAACCAAGCTCATACAGATGTATAGAAATTAGAATATCTGTTGCGAATACTCTTTTACATAGTATTAATGGATTTGGTTGCCATGCGAATGATTTGTTTGTTTTTACTGCAAGTCGATATCACACATTTAATTGACCTAGATCCGTTTTTGCAGCTTAGGTTTGTGATCCTTATAACGGTATTTTTGTAATGCATTCGTCATTTTGTTTCTATTGCAATAAAAATGTAGAACGGATATTAAATCCAAGTGAGGAGTATCTAAACTTCGGCGCATAATAAATTCAAAACAAATATAAAAAATTTCGTATTTGTTTGTTTAATTGTTTGCATGCTTGTCTGGCAGCAGGTAGTGTCGTTGTATTTTTTTTTTAGAAAAAGGAGAACAAAAGTAAAAGTTTGTTTCCAAGAATCTGTTCCCTTGCCTTTTTTTATTCTATATCCCACAAGCTAGAGACGGTATATAGTTGATTTACAACACACGTCGCTATTCGTTTAAAGAGCTCCTTACCCAATAAACAAGTGGTGGTAAAATAGCCGTCCTTTTGTGAGATAACGACCAACTAAATATATTCAGAACCATAAACTACTCAGATAACAAAACTAGTTAAAAACTGACTAAAACTCAAAAATATTGAAATTCTTTTCGATACCAATTTTAAAACACCCAAAAGGAGATATTGACCTTGAGGAATGAAATGGATTAACTGTGCAGGAAGGAATGTCCATCAAATGCTATACAAATAAAATTGATATATACTTAGGGCTATCGTTGCGATGTTCTGACTGACCAATAGTCACAAGAAAGAAGTGATGCTTTTTCTTCTTCTGGTTTTAATGGCTTTGTATTAATTTTGATATATCGAAGGAATAGTCACAATGAGATAGTTCTATATCAATTTCGTTATAAATCAAGATTGCTATGTCACGTAAAAACAAAATAGTGTTATATTTTGCGACTTGTGACGTCTCTGTTATGTCGTCCAGAATTATGGCCATTAATATTATAAACTTACTTATTGTTACTATTACAGTTAGTTCAGCTAGAGAAATGAATGCAAAGACTAAAGCACTAGCATCGGCTTTATTAAAAAGTTTACCGCACTTGAGATTAGCACCCATGACCATTGAGTTGTTTGTCGAGATCCGTATCGTACCAGGTTATTCAGATGGAAATAAACTAATCAATATTAAAAAAGTGAATAATGTGCACCATGTTTTAATTACTGGATTTTGATAGAGGCATGTTTATAGGCTTTATTTTAATTGTCTGATTTGGAATACTTCACTGAATACATTTAACTGATAAACTTCAAAATTCATAAAAATGAGGGCATTGTTGCAGATTCTTGTATAAAAATAAATTTATAATGTTTTCCTTAACCTTTTAATTATAATAACATTGAAAGAAAGAGAAAATATACGTCTTATAGCTTGCGGATTTAAAAACAAAGCTCCGACACCTTTTAATAAAATGTTATTGGCAGTTACACATGTTAATTTTAGGCATCACTCGTCGAATTTGCTCCAGAGATGGCGAAAGCTGTCAAGATTTTGCTTTCTACTTTTTTCCTTTTGCTTGCTGTTTGGATGACTATGATTAAATTGGTCTGTTAAATTTTTAAACCAAATTTTAGGTGCACATAGGGAAGAGTTGCTAAAATAATTATTCACCTTTTTTTTTGTTTTTAATGATCAGTCATTCAGGGGATGTCCCCTATTTGTATAGCACGGTGACGGCTAGAAAGAAGAAGAAGTAAAGAAAGGGTAGGGGAGATGGCCACAGACTCGTGACTCTATACCAAATTGGTAAGCGTTATGCCTTTATCTACTGAATACTCACTAAAGCTACGACTAAGGTAAACACTACCGCCCTGAGATTTGAATCCATCAAATTGGAAGGGTGTACAAGCCACGCTTCACGAATGGGTTGGTTGCATCCTCGGATTGCATCGGAAACAGCATCAATAATTAGTTGCTTGATTTTCATTATCGCATGTTGGGGTTTTCCATTTAATGTTTCGCTCAGTTGCATCGGTTATGCCGGTAAAAAAAAACTGTACTTGCTGTCACAAAAAAAAAGGATATATATTAACTACTTAGAATAGGGATTGTTGCCATAGTTACGACGTCATATGCATACTGAAGCGCAATGACTATACCGATTTTTTAAGATTTATCAAAGAAAGAAAGTTTTGTTGACTGATCTTTAAAAGATATTACATCATTTTGGTTTTCTCTTTGAGATTTACTTCAGTCCGATTAAATATGGGAAACTATGAGCCTGAAACGCTTTTCAACTAAAGTCTTAGCTCCTTACGCCGATTTCTTTAATGTGGTGAATTCCAACAACAGAGCCAATAAGTATCCACGTTCGGTCAGATGCATCAACAAAAGAGAGGTCAAACTTGTTGATGCCTGTTTTAATTAGTTTATATATGTCGTGATAGACATAATACAATCAATATTACATGCATGTCAGCATTTTATAGAAATTACTATTTTAGAAAATTTTCTTTAATATTTTCTGATAAATTTTTAAAGAAAATTCTCTCTCCACCTAGATTCGACTACTACTAAGTGGACACAGCTTTCCAATGGACAGAGACATGTTTTTGAAATCAGGCGTTGATTAAGTGCTGTTTAACATTGCGATGTTTCGAAATGCTTTTAACTAACCATTTTGTAATAGACCTCTTTGTTGAAACAAGTGTAGTGAATAGAAAGAAAATAGATTTTTCCTTTTGTTTTGTTTTTTTTTTCAAAGAAATTGCAACAAACACTTCTTTTATTCTTAGCGCTCTTGGCCAAAAAAATAAAAAAGAATAAGTAAGAAAATTATGTTCGGTCGTGACCGAACCTTTTATACTCATCGCCGTTGTCCTAAAAAAGACGAACCAAGTAGAAGAGCTAACGTTTCATGCGCTATAATTTGGAATTTGTGCGGCTGATTTTTTCTATTTTTAAAATGAAAGTTTGTGCCATATTGACGTATGGACGTTGTAGACGTGTCCTTTGCAATGTTCAGTTCACGTCCTTGCAAATTTGTAGGCGACATATTCATTTTCGCTAATAATGTTTACCATATATATTAGATACCTGCCCAAAGAGACAGATGGACAATTAACATGCTTAGTTACATTCCAAATTTGAAACTGGTCAAGAATTTATATACTTTATGAAGTTGTTGAATTGATTGTTTCCATGCCTTATAAAGGTATTGAAAAAAAATTTAATTTTGATGCACTATAATATTGATTATGCGTGGTATATTTTTTCCATTTTTGTGAAGGGCTACGCATCGCCCATGGAATATGTATTCAAATATCTGCTATAGTTTATGAGTAGTGAGCAAAAAAAACAATTTTTTATTTCTTTTGAAAAACAGAAGCGTTCTCAGTTTACGTGGTGCTGTGCGGGTGTGTTCGTGAACCGACTAGGCTCCTTTCTAATATTTGGGTGTAAGGAACTTCCAATGTTCCGCATAATTTGAAGGTGACCGCATCATTTTTGCGACCAGGAGAATGTTTACAACAGACATACATCGACGAACATGCTTAAATCTAACTAGAACTTGATGCTGATCAAGAATATATATAGTTTGTGGGATCTCTGATGCTTCCTTCTGCAAACGTTTTGACAACATGAATATACTCTCCATCCTTCGGTGATAGGTATAAAAACGGATTTTGAAATTAAAAAATTTGCAAGTAAGAGTAGACAGGGGTAGAATGAGAGTGTGTATGCGTGTATGCAGCTATATATACCGATACGTATATAGACATTCATATAAGTATGCTTATATGCACAATGTGGTGTAAGGAAGGAAGAAATAAATGAATACATCTTTAGCAAGCATCGAAAACCGAAAAATGATGAGATGATTGCAGATTTTTTATTGTTTTGTCGGTTTAGTGCTTTTCAAATTAGTGCTTAAGCAGCTTTCAATACGATCAAAACGTTTAACACTTTTCGTTTTTCGTTCCTAGAGAAACCACGCGAATAAAAATTCGCATTTTAGAATAGTAAAAAAATACAAACCACTTTTACGGCTCATTAAGGTTAAATTTTCAACTATTGTCGCTGTGTTTAAAAAGAAAATATAAAGCAAAACTGTAGCGAAACGAAACGATTTCTCCTGTTATTGGATGTGTGTGTTTGGTTATTATTAATTGTACGTGTGTGTGTGTGTGTGAAGCGAGAGATAGTGCTCTTAGCAATTAACGGAAGTAATCATGAGTCCAAAATTGCATGAATTCGTCGTTATTTTAAACCGTGACGGTCAATGTACCCCCTGGGGCATACGTCTGGTCGGTGGCAATGATTTGGATACGCCACTGATTATCACCCGGGTAAATTTCTTTTTTTGTCTTTCGTGAATATGATGATGTTGTTAATGACATTGTACATGCATTTAAGGATGCCTATATGTCTTTCCTAAAAATTTGTACAATAATAATAATAGTAAAGTGTTTATTACACAACATGATATTCAGTTAGTGATTAGTATTTCATTTCAAAAAATATTATATAGTTTCCACTCGTTTTATTTTAGATCATTTAAAAACTTTTATTTTATTTCACGTACTCCGTGGTTTTTCATATTTTTTTCAATCCACTCTGCTATGTCACTCTGCTATTAACAACGTTTACGTACTTGGGAGTTAGATGATAGAAATTCATTTGTTTACATTATAATTTACTAACAGCTTCCGTTTAATCGGATAGTCGTTTATGACTTATAGTAAAGTTGTGCCATGGGATGCGTTATGTTTACATAGCATGCTACGATTTGCGTAGAAACATCCATTCCATATTTGTTTGAAATAACCCAAATTGAGGCACATTGTTCTTTCCTGTTGGACAGGAATAAGTTTAAGAAATTCTTGGAAATTCTAAGAAGCACAAATATCTTTAAATAGTTTTGATATGAACGCATTTAACCATTCATTCTCGTTGTCTTCGTCTAACTGTCTGAATGTCAGTGAAATTATCAATTGATTTTTCAACAATTTCGACGTACTACTTTATGTAGATTCCTATAGAAATATAGGTGACATTTTTATGTGCGTCTACCTCCCTGGATAGCGTTGTACATACGAAACTTAGTCCTCATACAAAGACAACAGACTTCTTATAATATAAATTAAAGATTTCTAATACGTACTACAACAAACTGAATTTAATTGATCAACTGGGAAGGAAGGAGGAATTGTCATAGCACGAAAACATGCGATTGTTTGTGCTTTAGCGAGTATCGCATATACAAAAATATTTAGAGGACTGCATAATATAAAAATAGGTTTCACAGATCACATGACATTTTATATCAATTAATTTTCGATCTTCAAAAAAACAGTTATTAAGCACGTATTGTTTAAAATTTGTTGGTTTTTTTTTGGTATAAAAAGGCTTTTAAATACCTGTAATCACTTTTTTCCTACGTGCTCTAGTTTTCGACATACCTATGACAAATACCTATTTCTGTTAAAACGGATCATTTTGATTCTCAATTTTGTCGACTTTTCACAGCCGTGGAAAAGAAGATAGGATCCAAATGTTTGTCAGGATCACATTCATACTCAGTCCGGAAATGATCCTGATGTTCCAATTGATTTCCAATTTAATTCTCATTTATCCGATCAAGGAAAAATAGGGGATGAAAATCATCCCTTTTAGTATAAATAGTTGTATGCAAAACGTTGGTAGTTCAAGTGTTAATGATTTAAAGCTTTTGATCGGTGCATGGATTCACCCAAAGCTAGAAAAAAAATCTATAATTTCTCCTGTGTATCGCCTAAGAATGGTTTTTAAGCCTTAAGTTTCTGTAATATATTCCCTCTTTCATGATGGAAAATATCATTTAAACTGAGTCCACTATTGCCAATAAGTCCCAGACAAACAAACAAAACAGCTTATGTGAATATGTGTGTTTTTAGTTTACACCATATATTTGTGAGATGATGACAAGCCATATATAACGTGATCACCTCATAGGACATAGATCGATTGAAAGTATCTTTACATGACCGAAATCGAATGTATTATATTTTCCCTGATTTTACTTATCATTTAACCAGTAATATATTCTAAGTTCATGTATTATGTCAAATGAAACCTTCTTGTGTGTAGCCCGCAAGGCGAATAACATAGTATACATGAAGTTTAGTTAGTATTGAATAAAAATAGATGCTTGATAGGCGCATATATAGACGTCCGTTTAATAGTTTAAATTACAATTACACTTTCAAAATATTCTTTTTTGATTGTTGTCCGATCCATCTTTATCATTTTATTTATAAGAAATGATCTCTCCACTACGTTAAAATAATAACTTAAATAAGGCAGCTAGCTTGTGATTATTACTAGTTATATTTGTTACGTAAGAGAATGCTTATGCCTGGGAGATCAAATGTTTTTTTTTTTTTTTTAAATAAGAAGATTATGTCCGCCTTAAGGCAGTTCTTTGATACTCGATATCTTAGGTCAGTATATAAAAGCTGCCAAGTATGTCGCCGCTTGTGTATATCGGTTATCCAATCGAGAGCATTTTTGCGTTAAATTTTTAACAAATAGATATATCAAATTCTAGATCAGAATCGGGTAAATTTTGTAAGCGGCAACCTTTTACTATTCATAGACTCATAGGCTTTTTAGTGCACGGCGATTCAATCTCAGTTTGTGGCGCCCAACTGAGCATACGTACGCTAAACTTTAGCTTTTCATTTCAATATTTTGCTACGAAATCTTGAGATTGCCAAAACCAAGCGACAACCAATTAGCTGAAGGGACATATAGGACTTCATTGATTTGAATTGCTACACGCTAATCGTAGTGTCTCAAGCATATTTCTAATTATTACAAATAAGAGACGATATCTGATGGTACGTGGTGGTATCCCGGGGTGCAAGCTAGAAGTGGCTTAAGCCAAATGTAAGCGCTCGAATTTTTCTTTTGGCTGTTATTTTTCTAATTTTTTTACTGCAAAGGGTTTTATTATCATTATTATTATTATTGTTATTATTTTTTCTATTTTTTTTTACTGCAAGGACTTTTATAATCAATTTGTTGCTCTGTTATTGTTATTGTTTTAGTGTAGATGGTTGTGTTCACGTTTTATATATCTATATATATTTGGTATTGCAATATTTAAAAGTTTTTTTAACTTGTTCACACTAGTCGTTAGCCAAGTTTCATTATCAAAACAAATTGTAAAAAAAAAAAAACGAAAAAAAAGATATGAAGAAAACATCTATTGCACTAAAAAGTGCATAAGTGAAATGTATAATAAAATATATAAACAATTATCTCCCACATCCCGTTATACTTTCCATCAATCGCTTTGGCACAGCATCTGAAAAGAGAAAAAAAAAAAATGAAAATGAAAATAAAAAATACTTAAGAAAGTTTTTCAGATAAGAGAGAATTGGCATTCTTGGCACGGTGCTTGTGATATAGGGAATATTTGGATCAAATTTTAGATCAATATTCCTTATATGCTACAAGTTATGGCTTTTCGTCGATTGTGGACGTGTTTGTAGAAAGGTAACGCCTTTTGTTTTTTTCAAAATTTAGTTTCGATACTATTTACACCTAGATTTAAATTAATAGCTGCTATGAATATTAAAAAAAAGTTTTTTACTCTGTCTACTGTAGTCGTGGCTAGAAATGGAATTTGGCTTATTTTCAAACATGAGCAATTCAAATATATCTCAATGGTTGGAAAGTAAAACATTACTAAATCGGTTTAGAATCTTACGCAAATTGAAAATATATATAACATAATATAAAATAAATAAATAAATATATATATATATATATATATATAATGAGTACTACTGGGCGATGTGAACCAAAGTAGAAATGCATTATTTCCACTCTTTGATGGTGGGTATAAAAATAAAACCAAAAAAATTCTATTGTAAATTACGTCGTTCGTTCAAAAATGATAAATTGCATTGAAAGCTAGAAAAAAAGACTTCTTACACATTCAAACTTACTTCTTACATGCATATGATTTAAATGTAGGAAAAAATGTAAACAAATGTGTTTAAGAAACTATTCCGTTTGTGCATGTAAACATCAAAATATTTCCTAACAAATGTTTATTTCTAGCTATGTTATATTATTATATATTTATTTGATAAGCGCGATCTTTTGAACTTTGATAAAAAGGAAATAATGAAATAGGAAATCATAGAAGATTCAGAGGCATGCTCTGACTGTAAGGCAACGTTTTGTATCATCCCCAAAATAAGTCATATTTCAAAATAATGATGAATTTTAAGCGAAGTATAAAGAAAAAAAATTTATGTTGTAATCATTTCGATTGGAAGCAAAGGTTATGAAATTTTGAAAACATTTAATGAAATGTCGTCACGTACGACGGCCTATTTGTTTACCTCTCACACTATTGTTAGCCATAAATGGAACTATCTAGACTCAATGCATCTACCTTTAGTGATTCCAAGGCTTTAAGCAAAATGCATAACTCTCACATTTAAAGCTTAGCTGACATTCTGAGCAGTTGGGTGGACACCATAAAAATCAATTCATTGGAAAATCAATTCAAAAATAGGCGTGATATTTTCACAAACTTTTAATTCCAATTGAAATAATTTATAAAAGTTGGATATTCGCCTGATCTTAAATCTTTTGGGAAATATATGTACCAAGGTCTAGAATCAGAAAGTTACAGTTCTTTTTTTAACAAGTTTGTTTTCCGATCAGGCGAACGATATTCACTTTTCTAATGAAGTTTCCCATAGTCTTCCTTAAGTTGTTTTCTATGAAACTTCTATCAATTAATTAGAGTTTATTTATGTGGTAGACATGGTTTTAGATAGGTCGCAGATGATTTCATATTTATTTTGAAGCTATATAATCTAAATATTAGTTCTCGTTCTAAATCTTTGAGGACTATTAGCGGATAACATGCAGAGCGGCGTATGTACCAGATTATATGAAATCGATTGGGAATTTCATATTATTTAAGATTACGTGCTCTATATAATACAAACTTGTAACAAATATTTCTGTGGACGACAAACGGAAGGCCAAGTCTAGCAGTCTCAATGTTGACTTTTTTGTAACCTCACTCCTGATACCGAGCCGATCGGGGAACACTTTTACCTAAGAGAAATAGCATGTAAAAAAGACGTATTCTTAGACATACTTACTATTTACATTTTTTTTATTATTTTTAGCCGTATAAATGCATCAATGATACGGATTACTCAAATTGACAATTAGTCAAAATCCGTTCTTTTAATAAAACTGTAGAGTAATTTTCTTTCACGATAACACACATAGGAGAGCAAAGCTTGATGTCTACATCTAACCTAAGAGGAGTTGCGTTAGGCTTCCGGCATGAATGGTCGAGAAATAACTAGTCGAACGAAAGGATTAGTATATTGCCAAGCGTCACTCTATAGCGAATCTGTTCCTCCTTTTGTTTTCATTGCAGACTTTTGCCTCAAATGCAGCAGCCTGATATCGCCTATTTACAACGAAAGAAGATATTGTTTGTAGCAATTTTTTACTTTACTTTTGTAACACTTTTACGTTAAGAAATTTTAATTAGAAATTTTTCTTAAATTAAAAATTTCGAAAATGGAAAATATTACAAGATATCGAATATAATCTAATTGATTTTCTTATCGCTAATAACAAAAAGGAAAGTTTTCATTAATTTATAAAAGTGACACATGTTTTAATCGATTTAGTGTTTTTTATACCTACCGACTGTAAAATTGGGGTATGCTCATTTTATTTTTTTCCAAAATATAAGTACCACCCAAAAAGGAAGCTTGAGAGACCATGTAGAGTATATGTATATTCTTGATCAGCATGAAATTCTGAATTGATTTCGCCATGTCCGTCCGCCTTTAAGACTATCTGTCTGCGTGGTGTGTGTTGTTAATACTCTCCTGGTCGGAAAAATGAAGATATCGAATTTAAATTTGGCAAAAACATTGGAATTTTCTGCACGTAGGTTGGTATTGAAAACTGGCCAAATCGGTCGCAGCAAAAATGCGCAGTGGACCATAAACCGAACGCAAGTTCGCTTTTTTTAAAAACAATTTTTTAATTTTTGCTCTTTGCTGGGCAATTATAGAAGTTAGAGGAACGAAATTTTCTACATTTACTTTACAAAGCATCCTACTCCTTATGTCCAAAAATGGAAAACGTAACTCGTGCCGACACAAAATTACAAGTCATTAGACTTTGTTTTTTTGCACATTTTTGAGGTTTTATGCTTATTTATCATAGCGCAAACAAGACCGAATGTTGAAAACTACTTTTGTACATTCCTTAAATGAAAATATATTATCTGCCTAGAAATGGGTTCATATTAAAATGAATAAGGTATACACCGCGATTAAGTGTTTCTTAATAATACCAGGTATCAACTGAAAGAACTTGCAGAGTAGAATGCGAATAACATAGTGGTGAGTATACGAAACTCGGCCCAGGCCGGATATAACTTTCTTACTTGTTGTGATTATTTTCATTCAGCACAAATCATTTTCGTTATAATAAACACTATTACATCACATCTGAAACAGTGCAATGGATTTTGAAAATATTTTTAATTACAAAAATATCATTCATTTAACTAGGGAGGCCGTATATTCTGTGCTTACGCTCAACATTTTACATGAATAACACGCCTTTTCTCGCGGTTATCGTAAACATATTATATATGTCAAGATTTCGTATGCTTTTAGGTTTTAAGTGGGAAAATTCATTTTTGCCCGTAATGATTATTGTAAACACTAGAGCGAGACTTCACCTCTTTGTAAAGTAGAAAAGAGTCGTCTTCAAAAAATTATTAATTGCAAATCCAAAGTATTTATTACAAACATGCCATTCCAATTAAATGCATTTAATCATTTTCTTCGTCATACTTCCGTAAGGTTTCTTACCCTGCTATCTTTGGCCATAAAAGTTGCTCGAGTCGTTTCTAAAAAGATAAGGGCAACTAAGGGTTCCTGTTATTTAAAAGGTTTTGTAGCCGTCGGAACGAAGATTTTTCGAGATTTTTAATTGTCAATTATGTTTCGAGTCCATTCGAAACTTGTGTGGAGTTGCGAACAGTATTTTGTTGCTTCAATCACACGGTTAGATGCAGAGCTTCTCACATTATCAGCAAACTTTCAAATCGCATCCAATAGAGGATGTGAATATTTTCAGGTGTAATAAAGTCGCATGGGCAGCTTAATAGTTAATCGACCATTACGTTTTTAACATTAGAACTACTTACATTTCGCATGCACCTGTCTACAACAAAAGGAATCAATATTAGCGGCATATTAATCAGTAATAAGTTCTAAATAATAGTTTTTGCCGCATAGGCGTACGAGCATAAGCGTATCCTTTGAAAGGTTTGGCTCATTTCATTTTCGCTAACGGGAAAATGTTCATCCCAGATAATACACAGTTGGACAGACGGAGAGAAGAATCGGCTTAGATGCATTCCAAATTTGAAACTCGCCAAGAATTTATATACTTTATAGGATTTTTGAAATTTATTTCTGTGCGTTATAAAGATATTCAAAAAAAAATTGAATGTTGATATACTGTTATATTGGGTAGGCGGGGCCCTTCTTGGCGTTGCAAACGTGAGACAAATATTTCCCTTTGAAAAACAGGTTGGATTGGCTTACTAATGGATCTGCAATGAATAAAAAATATGTTGTTATTTTCATTTGCTTACTTAAGATAATTTTGGGTATTCAGTGTTTGCCTAAAGGTGAATGTGACCTTCTTCCTTCTTCTTCTTTTTCTTGCTCTTCTTGTTAATTGTTTAATGATTTCTCATAATTAATAAATAACAGAATACGCATAATTACGCATAATTAAACGCCATGGCCTGAATAAAAATTGCAAACAAATGTCTATCAGCGAGATACTGATGCAAGCAAAATAATAATTGAAAATCTGAAAATTTGTATGTGATTTCATTGATTTATAAGGCTTTTAATTAATTTATTTATTTTTAATAGGTACAAGTGGGCACACCGGCCTATGGTGAGGTGTTGCGGGGTGATATCATCGCAAAAATTGGTGAATATGATGCTCGCGATCTTAGTCACGCTGATGCTCAGACGCTATTTCGTACAGCCGGCAATGAAATACGAATTGTCGTACGCAGGTAAAAAATATATAAAAAATATATCATATAAACGACGCTATTTTGGTTGTTAAAAATTAGTTAATATTAATAAAACTTTATTGTCAATTCTTTGTTGCTTAGGGATAATAAGATTGCCTACACTCAGGGTTTAAGTGGAGACAATTCCGTTGCGAGTCCAGCGTTACTTTCTACAAGTCCCGAACAAAATGCTCCACATAGGTAGGCAATAGGTTTTGCAGTTGCTTGTACTGATATTCCAATGAATTTATTCAAAATTCCATATGATCTAGATCACCATCACCATTTTTAAATGGACCTGGTCATTATGAGCGTGCTCTACAGGTACCTGTAGATACATTGCCTCATACAGTATTTCCAAAACTGAATCCGACCGGCGGTTATGTTCCACCGGCTGAAGGCGGCAGTTTCTCCCCAATGCCAACACGTGATCATCAGCAGGAAGTTGCTGAAGAGCAAGCGACCATTGTTAATCAAGTGAGTGTGTAAAAGCTTCTCTTATACAACATGCGCTACAAAATTTTTCAACTCACTCTATTTTTTATAACTAAATTCTTGTAAACGACAAGCTCTTTTTTTTTAACAATAAATTGGGTTTCAACTCCTGGCCACTTTGCCTGACCAAAACTGTCATTAAAATTTATTTTTCACTTGTATTTGGTTGCCTTTTTTTTTTCGTTTAACATTGAGTAGGAATGTATCAAATTTAATAAATGTTTGCTATTAAGAATATTTTCGTCGTCGTAACTGGAGTTTTAAAGTTTTCCGCTTTGGTTCAGTCGTTACGCGATATTTGTAAAATGTGTGTGCAAACCTTCTCTTGAATTGATTGTTTTTACCTTAAGAGTGGATTTCTACTGTTAGGATAAAATTTTACAACTTTACTTCTACTGGTCTATTTATCTTACTAACCCCTTCCTCCTAGAAGTATGCTTCTTCTTCTGGCATGTCTTTCGATTCAACAATTTTGTAATTAAAGAAAAAAATTTGAAAATGATTTTTATATCCACAACTGATATTGCCAAAACAGGTGCAACGCCCACAAAGAAGCATCAGAGACCCCACAAAGTATACATAAATTCTTCATCAGCATCCAATCCTAAGCCGATTTAAGCACGTCCGTCTGTGCGATGAATCTGTCGACTTCAAATTTGGCGGAACAGTGGAAGTTCTTACGCGCAGGTTTGTATTAAAAATTGACCAAAACGATTCGAAGGACACGCCCACAGCATCACCTAAACTAAGAACACTTGTGTATTTCAAAAGGAATAAAACACGCCTACAATGTCTACACGCCAATATGACAAATACTTTTATTTTGACAGTAGAAAAAATCAGGCTGCCCACTCCATATTATAGAGTATGAAAATGTAGTTCTTTTGTCTTTTTCATCCTTTTTAGGATAACGGTGATGGGTATAAAAGATTCGTTTACAACCTTATTTTTTCTTTTCACATATTTTTTAGGTTTTCCAATTCAGCACATTATCACTTAGTTGGCAAATTTCTTTAAATCAATGATGTGAGACGAGCAAAAAATGCACAATTTTTCAATTAGTATCCTTCGCTTTCAATCATAAATTTGATAGAAGTATTTGTGAACAATTTTCAAAATATTTGTACTCGTCTACACAAACATATACGATTGCATTTAATTCAAGGACAAAATCAAAAACAAGAAAAAATATAATGACGAAAACTAACCGGCTAACTATGTGATCTATATCTGAAGGTTAGCACTTTCATATCGCAATTAAAGACATCCCTAATAAATGTTTGTTGTATTTACGAAAGTTTATTAAAAGTTTCCTTTTTTCATATTTGCTGTTGCTTTTACATTCGCTAAGTTTTCTTATGGTGGCACACGCCTACTTATACTATACGTATTAAAATGTTTAATTTCTCTTCTTAATTCTCACAGCCTTGAAATTTCGAACAACTACAGTACATGACAAAATTGACTAACAATTTTAAGCTACTCATGAATACGTAAATTGCTGAGACAAAACTTTGTTAGAAACGAAACGACAAGACGTTACTATCACCTTTCCCGCTAGTGACCATATACACACTATTCAAATGTGTAGAAATTTTTAAAAATAAAACGTAATAAAAAAATAAATGACGCACATGAAAATAAAATAAATAGTTCGTATAACGTCGTCAAAAGCCAAGAGATAATATCATCATTGACTACGGTAGAGGTGAACACCTTCAAAAAGTGCAGGAATATCAACAGCAATGAAAATCAAACAACAATCAAACAAAATCGACAATCACTTTAATTACAAATTTTAAGCGCTTATTAACAATGAGAGATTATTTCTACCCTCTACCGAAAAATGAAAAACTCTGTTTATAACAAGCAAGCGTACTCACAATATAGTACCCATATATGTATTAACCAATATAATATAGAAATGACGCCTGCCTTTAAAATCGATCTAGGTTTATCTGTGCGCCTGTCTGTTTTGTATTCTTGTATTCGAGATATTGTGATGAAACGCAACAACAAACAGCGATGTGTTTTGGCCTATGGATGCACATATTCGGATCGGACCACCTTATGTATTTAGCGAAGTGATTTAAATATTTAATGATGGGTCATAGTATATTATAAGGTTTTTACTTGTTTTCAATTCAATTACTTGTTCATTCCAAATGTACAAATTATTTGCGATAATAACTCACTATCACTATTCGCCGTAATAGGATCACTATTTGGGCTTAAGGTGAACTTTAACTTCTTCAAAAACAATCACATAAGAATTATATTATTAACAGTAGACACAATTTTGTAGCGAAATTTTTGCAATTCTTTTTGTACTAATACATTTATCGAATAAGTATAAGTGAAAATTGAAATTTTCGCGTCAGATGAAGTAAGAATAATTGCATATGTATTTCTTATCCATTACTTTCCTTTTCTATATAAGTTATGCGAAATCCACAAATATGTTGATTAAATCAATTAAGGCTTTGATCGATTTTACAAATACACTGTAGCAACATTTACAAACGGTTTGTGGTAGAAATTTACAGTAATCTTTTGCGTAGGTAGACGTACTATGATAATGCAATGAGCAGAATACCTTCCTTTGATTTCATTGTCTCTTCTCTTATTAACTAACTTTACTTTTTTTCTTCATTCCTCTAAGCCAATCCTCGATCAATTACAATTTTCCCATAATTTTTAACTTACTTTATTCTCGTGCAGAAACTATTTAGAACGACAATCAAATTATGATTTCAAGTACGCGTTAAGGCTTCACGTACGTGGAAGATATATATATATACATACATTTATTTTAGTTTATGCTTACTGTAAATGTGCAATTGGTAATGAGTTCGTACTACTTTCACTGGTATGCTTTAGTGTTGCCATGATAGAACGATGTGAACAAGAAAATGTTTAAGAGATGAGTAACCGATCGACGAAGAACATTTTGCAAATTAAAAAATCGCTTATGGGGCTACTGCTAGTTCACTTTCTCTTGTTATTGCTTCGAAAATTGCATCAGTATTAATTTGTTTTTGTATTTTTTTAACATAATTGCTGTGAATGATGAATGAATGTGAATAAATTTCAAGGACGGTCGACATCTGTGTTCAAGTATAATATATTTGTGCAGATAAACCAATGAACACATTTATATGATAAATTCTTACAATACATATGATCGAGATTTGAATTTGATTTGTTTTGTTTTGTTTTAAATTAAAGGTTAATTATTTATTATTCTTTAGGCCTTTTCTTTCTTCTCTCTCTGATTCAATCGACCATTAATAATTGAGTAATCGATTTAAAGGATTGTTAAAAAGCATTAAAGCATATTCACATACATTCCAGTTGGAAGGCTATTAACACGCAGCCATCACCATTTAGCGATTAACAGTACACTAAACCCAAATTTAACGAAATTCACTTTCTTGCCAAAGATCTTATTATTCATCGCTTATTTTCGTCGTCAAATACTGAAAATTAGAATTGATTGCTATATAAAGACTAACTTTTTTAAGAACACTTTTATGGAGTCGGAGTCAAAAAATTGTTGAAATTCTTCACAATAATATTGATTGATGTTCGTAAATCAAATGAACATGCTCTACAGATAAGCCTTCTTATAACGGCTAGAGCACTGAAAAAGCGCTTAAAGTAAATTTCAATACATTTTCACTATTTATATGTATCTAATAATCGGGTGTCGATATGAAGTTAGATCCATAGCAGTGCACAATAAAAATGGTGTTGAATACAGTAGCTTTTCCTTATCCTTTTTCTAAAATTTACATTTCATGAGTGGGTCTTCAAACTGATCAAGATTAATTTAAATTTATATAATTAAATTTTGTTGAATTTTTGAACTGTGATAGCGGATAGGTATAACTACGTTGAGGCCTATTAGAAGGTCTCAGGGTACATAATTCTAACTTATTTTTTCACAAATATGTTCAAAACACACCAAAATATTATTATTAATATTATTATTGTTTGGCAGTTACTCTTGCGTGTACAATAATGCGTTTGCAAAATTTCTATATATAGGTCGTAACTTGTCCTTTATGCTATTAAATTATGCTGGGACCTTCCTCTTTCAAAGTGCATTCTTTACGTTTTATTGCTACAATGTACATGATTTTGCCAATATGTACACAGCACAGTTATTTTTAGTTTTGAATATGTTGAAATGTGTGTAATCATGGCTTAATTCGAAGGAAAGAAGTGATATATTATAACGTTTGATGAAAAACTGAAACGCTACGATAAGCTAGAACGAAACTCATGATGCTCAATGATCTACGACCTTCCCGTTTGTTTTTACTGGGCGCTGCTCTTTTCCTGTTTGTCACTATTGCGATCGATGTCTTCTGGGTGATCCGTTTGAGTAGTACTTCTATCCTTGTCAGGGAGTCCAAAAAATGTGAATGTTCATCTATAGCCTAAAGAGATTACTTATTGTTTTAACAAAGAATTTCTGTACTCTCCGAAGGATGCGAAAACCATTGGCTTGCAATGGACAATATTTTGAATGGAGTATCTCATGTTTAACAATCATTCAAATTTGTTAAAAAGTATGAAATGAAATAGGCTGAATAGCTTGATTTTGAACATGATCAGGTAAAGCTCTCCGCTTAGTATATTCGAAATGTTGTCGCTGCTGCTGTCGTTACCACAAATGTTTGTCGATAAGATTCATGTGTAGAGAAAATGGCTGTTTTTCATTTAAGCAAAATGAATGTGGGCGCGCAAAAGAAATGAAAAAAGATTGTACACAAGTCCAAGTTTATGTTTGAATATATTAATTCAGATATTCATGTACGTGAATACATATTTACGGCATTCATAAGCAACAGTAAAAGATCTTAACAAACATGGAAACATTTCTTTATATAACGGGAATGAAGAAGGAGCAAGAAGAGTGAGGTGATGTTGGCCAAAATATTGTGGGGGCTGAAAAATGCTTTTTTTTTCTAGTACTTATACATACCCATGTGTATACATAGTTATATAGTTAATGGATACAATTTATTTATTTTTCCTTTTTATATATACGTGCGAGAAAAAAAAAATATATATATACACACAATGTTTATATATATGTGTGTGTGTGTGTACGTTTGTGCTATTCTGGTGAGGACGTTATATATTTTTTTCCGACAAAAACAAATTTGTTTTCATCGCCTTTTGAAAAATTTTGCAAAATTCAGTTGCTTTCGGAATATTGCAAAATTAAGTTCACATTATAACAAAAGAAGAAGAAGAATTCAAGAGCTAGTCAGTGAGTGAATGTTGAAAGATTATTCGACACAAAATTTTCAATATTAAAAATTACAAAAAATACAATAGATGGACAAAAGAAAATAATAATAAAAATAACAACACAAGTAACGACATATGAGTGTAAATTAAAATTTGATTTGATTTCGTCAAGGAAAAGGATGCTGAAGATATAAACAATAAAACTTATTTACAATAAATTTAATAATTAAAACAGGACATATTAAAATTTTTATTTGGCGTTAAAAAGTTAACGGTTTTCATTAATTTATTAAATACTTTCTTTTTTTTTTACAAAAAAAGAAACACCTTAAATAGCCGCCTTAAACTTCCAAAATCTGCGCGCATACACAGAGTTTTAAAGACAATGGAATACGTACAATTTAAAAACGGTTCGCCACACTACTACCGGGAACAGCCCGATCTAAACGAATGCATTCAATATCAAGTAAGAGTTAGTAAAAGATTGAAACTAAAATTTAAACAAAACAAGCTAAGCGACGAATAATTCAACAAGAAAATTGTGCACGCAACACGATCACATACCATTCAATTGTTACCACATTTCTTATAGTTCTAGGGGAAACTCTTTTATAGCATCAATTATTTTTATGCGCTTTGTACGTTTAAAATATTGAATGAAAGTAAGACAGGGTTTTTAAAATCTATCTAAAACCAGTCCGAATTTTATGACATTTATTTTATGTTCTTACCTTGTATAAGCTGGCTTGTAAACTTAACGTAAACAATTTGAAAGAAGAAATTCAATCGTGCTTTGAATGACCTCCTACATGGCTGGTTCTCGCAACGCTACCTAAATTTATTAGGTTTATAGTGTAAATATACAGTACATTTTAGAAAAGAGGCAGAAATTCCAAATATTTGTTAAAACTTTGTCCCTCTCCTTTATAATTAAATTGAAATATAAAAATTTTCAAGGTGGCCCCGCAGAGACTGGCCTTCACTTGCCTATAGTACTCTCTCTCTCTCTCTCTCTACATCTTACTTTATACTTAAATCTTTTTTTATTTTTCTACCATAAGTAAAGACATATTCTGTAATGTCATTTATGCAATTCTGGAAAAATCCATAGAGCTATTCTGGGATTCTGGCATTTTTTCTACCATATTTGCATATATATATATATATATATATATATATATATATATATATAAACATATTGTTTGCCAAAATATTGTATAACGTCTGTATATGTATATAAACAGATGTTCTGGTACACAAAGGAAAAAGAATATATTCAATGTTTTTTGAAATATTTATGCATTTTCAGCTTTTAAATCATATAATAAAAAAAAAATTAAATTGGCAAAGAGTGTATTTACTTTCTTTTTTCCTCTTTTTGCCTGAGAATATTAATTATCGTTTAGATTAAAAAAAAAATGTAATTTTGAGGACTGGGCTGAAAAACTGACTGCAAAAGATTTAATACATTGTATGTAATAATAAAATCAGTGGATTTGCCTTATGCCATCTTTGACGTTAAATCAAATATCTATAAAATAGAGGATATCATTTTTTTAGGTATCTCGTCGTCTCCGTGCTTCGCTTCGAATCATACTTAAGCTTACCTGAAAAACGTGTTAAGTAAATTAAGTTAAAAACTGCACATATTGCCGCTATGTAGTAAAAGAAAAACAATTTTTTCCCTCTATCTTCGAGTAAAACAGAAAAATAACAATTTCAATATTTATTAGGCGATACTGCTATCGTTCAGAGTCAAATGTCTTTACTCAAAACCCTTTTTCATTTATTATTGAAATATATCCTACTTTTTATTTCATGCAAATAACTTTCAAAATATAAAACAAGTAAAAAAATTATATTGGGACGTAGCCAAATCTATCATACCCATCACCGTGATCCGAGTAAAACGAGTAAATTTTCATAGTCTGCAAATATTGGGCGGCGGCAGATGATAAAAATGAAAATTTATATGGTGTATATGTTGTATTTTATGAGTAACATGAAAAAAACTCAAAAAATAAGTGTTAACAGTTTTTATTACGTACGCGAGTGGGCGTTGTAGGCGTGTTCTTTAAATAGTTTGGGTCAGTTGCAAATAATTTCCCAAGCTTGTAGGTGATATCTTCTTTTTTGTGAACGAGAGAATGTCTGCCCAAGATACTGTTGCTCAGATGGGCGGGTATGTTTAGGTGCATCCCAAATTTGAAACTGGCCAACAGGGGGTTTTACTTTTGTGAGCTACAAATGTTTTGAAAAAAAAGAAGAAATTATGACGTACTATAGTATTGAATGGGCGTAGTCGATTTTCTCCGTTTTTGAAAATACGCATCGCCAATAGAATAAATGTTCAAATTTTCGCAGATTTATCTGACATAGTTTATAAGTAATGAGCAAAAAATCAAATTTTAGGTCCTTTTAAAAAACAAAGGTGTTTTCGGTTTACGTTCTGCTGTAAGCGAGTCCTTCGACCGATTTGGCCTATTTTAAAACATGCTTAGAAGAACTTTCAATGTCAAACTTGAAATCGATAGCTTTATTTTTGCGGTTAGGAGAATGCTTATAATTAACATTGCAGAGAAGGGCAGGATTAAATCGATTCGATGGTGCTGATTGAGAATAGGTATAATTTGTGAGGTATCTGAACCTTCTTTTTGGGCGTTGTAAACGTTTTGACAAAATGAATACTCTTCTCATCCATCGGTAGTGGGTATTAAAAAAAGCAAAATATAATACAAGATGATACATTTATATAGGTAAATATAGGTAAATTTACTTATACAGAATTTCATTTTCCTGCAAATATGATGGATATGATAAGATTGTAAAACTTTTGTTCTGTTAATGATGGGTGTGTCAATAAACTAATTTGTCAAGTTATATCTTTATACCGTTTCTCATGTAGATATCTGCCTTAGATCGAAAGTTAGCGAAGAACACATATTGAAGTTTTTAATAAATTTCGAAAGTCGTTTCCATTTTTAAACTAAAGTTTTATTTCCATATTTGATCAGTGAAATTTAATAAAAAAACATATATGTGAAGTTTGCGTTTTCCAACTTTATTTTTGTGGCTTTAAAGAAAGAGAGATTCACAACATAGTAGATTGATTGATTCAATCAATAGAAGGACTTTGTAATACGTTTTTCGCTCTCACAAATTGAATAATATATTGAACGTATCGTCATCGCTCGATAATAAATATAGAAATTTCAAATGATGCCTCTTAATTTCCTATTATTAATTCTTGCGTCACTTACTACTTTCTTATAAAACAGAAATCATTTAGAGTCATACGTTTTATTTTTCTACAAATAAAGAGATATTGTTGTCGGCATACATATAAACGGCTCTCGCATTAGATCAAGGTTAATTTATGAAAATAATCACTTTAATACCTGTGTGTATCGAAATTTGTGTAAAAATAACTGAAACGAAAGCAGGAAACTATTTAAATACTAATTAAAAATTAAATTAAATACAATTAATTAGATAATGTAGCACGCTTTTGCAACTATAAAAAGATTGATTAACTGATTAACTTGCCAACAAGTGACTATTTCAACTGATTCATTTCAATTTTTAAATTTTTTTTGCCAAAAAAAATTTTAAATGAATTAGTTGTTTAAAGAGGCGGTGTCATCTAAAATGGAAGCAATCAGTTGTTTATCACATAAAGCCGCAGTAACTTCTTCTTCGTCCCACGACAATTGAACTTTACCAAAGCGCGGTTCTTTCTTTTTAATTATGTGCAATATACCTCGAGTTTGCACCAGGTCAACTAATCCGACAAATTCAGCCTGATCCAAAGAATGAATGTTGCGTTTGTTACAAACACGGCGGTAAACTTCGTGTAGTCGTCCTATGGTTATATCTTTGTTGCGTTGATTACGTAGCATTAGCATCAACGAGCACAACATTATTTTCTGTTGTAAAGGAAATGATTGTTCAATATCCTCGTGTAGACTTTGTGAGGCGCTATAAACTTTATTTACAACAGCTGTTACATGGGTGACTTGCACAGGCTCCAGTATGTCTTTATTATATAAAGTTAAAATATTGTTTTCATATTTAATAGCAAACAAAACAAAATTCAGTTGACGGTTACCTTTACACAGATTTTCAATGTTTCCTTCCGCTTCCATAACAAATTTTTGTAAATTCACTTTTTTATTACCGGCTTTCTTTTGTTGCTCCGCAATTTCTACTGCTCGCCGCCCAATGTCAAGAGCTCTTCTCACATCCCCACTTACCGCACTAACCTTAGCTGCCAGTAATTCAATGGTAACTGGAGGAAATATATCTAAAACTTCGGCTTCTTCCAGACGTGACTTAAAGATCTCTACAATTTGCTGCTTTGTGTACGGTGGAAAATGTATATGCTTCGGCTTCAACTCACAACGAGCGTTCAAACGTGTAAGTGTTCGCTCAGTCAAGTCCAAGCTATTGGCTATACCCACAAGCAATAGCCGAGCGTTACGTAATGACGGCCATTCGAATATTGTATATAGGATTGATTGCTTTGAGCTGCAAAGTTGATCGATCTCGTCTAAAACTACAAGTAACATATCTTTCGAGTTTTGGATATAACATTGTATGGCCGTTATATTATCGTGTTCTGTACGTCCTTTAGATTTAAGCTTCAATTCTGCTGATAATTTTTTGTAAACTCCTCCAATTGAAGCTATCGAAGTACAGTTAATATACACTGTTTGCAAACTCAAAGCAAACTCCGGCGAATGCATTAGGAGTGATAAACAAGCAGTTTTTCCAGTACCTGGTTGACCAGATACGTACAAACTACCCGAACTCTTATTTTCCAAATGTTCTCGAAAGAACTGCTTGAGTTCTTCCAACTGCTCTTCCCTTCCTGGCAATTTTTTCGTTTCGCCACTGTTTAAAATACATCGAGCATTTTGATATTTGTTACGATGAAACGAACGATGTTTATCTTTTTTTGCGTCATCAGAGTCGGATGCCATTTCGTTTATGCTTAAACGATCTAACAGTCGTGACGGACTCAACATTTTATGAGCCACTGGACTTCGATGTTTAGCCTGTTTTGGTGGAGAAGCTTCATCAGGAGCTTTGCTTATATTACTAAGTTCTCGTTTTTTAGATGAGTCAATTATTTTTTTGGTTCTTGGAGTGTTTAACATTTGATGAACGTCTGGTTTTGCGTGTTCCACTCTATTTTTTAAATCGAAGTTGTTTTGTGTATCAGTAATGGATTTAGAAGCGGTGTCGGCTGGTTCATCTGAACCAGGATTATTCCGATCGTGTCTAATATGCCTACGAGTTTTCGCTGTAGTAGAAGTTGATGTCCCCAAACTATTTAATTTACCAGAACGACGTATAGATGCCATTTGTGTCAATTGACTCAAATGATTGCCAGAAAAAGCTTAACAAGCAATCAACGCGGCAAAAACACCTCAAGTTGCAAGATGTTTACTTAATAATAACCAATAAATAATGCTAGCTTTTATGAACGGCAGTAAATGTAAGCGATTTTAAAAGGCATTCACTTTCAACTTTTTTCGACCGATCTGTAAACTGACTTATGTAAAAAGTTAAATGAAAAGATCTAAAGTAATTTTAAAATATGTATTTTAAGTTATATAATTGAATAAAGGTTTTTGATTACTTTTTTTAACTTACGGATGATTTGCATTAATAATGAAGACCGGGCGTTTTTAAATTACGATAAGTCGTCATCATTGATAATGTTGTATATGAAAATTCAAGTATAGTTAGGTTATAGTGTTTGTTATCAGCTGTTCTTAGGCTAGTTGATCAGTTCATAAAGCAAATCATTTGGAGATGATTGCCATGTTTTGCAGTTATGATTATTGAAACTGTGTATATATGCGGCTCAAGTATCTCTACTACTAGGAATAATAAAATTTTCCAAAGTTGGACAATTTTTTTACCGATCTAAATAATAAAAACAACATTTGCTAATTTGGTTAATACTTTTTAATAAGAATTTCTATGTTAGCGAAAAAGAAAAGCGAATGAAGTGTGCTTCTGTTATTAAAAAATTTCTGAAATTATAAGAAGCATTTTATTCTATTCTATTTGATTAAAACTATATACACATACACGTATAAATATATTTCGATGTATGTGTGAATGTATGTAACTAAAATTTATTATGAACAAACCTTGTGTAATCAAATATTCCTAATAACAACAGCATTAATAAATATTTTAAAAACAGAAATTCAGTAAAGTAGCGAATATATATAATATCTAACGATTGCCAAACCGCCAACACGATCGACTATTAAGTAAGCACTGAATATCATTACATTCTCTTTTCTTCTCTCCTCTATTTACACATATAAACACACATGTCTTTATTCATTTCGGGAATTTTTTTGTTTTTATTATTCCATAACCCATATGTTCTCAATTTTTCATTTTGAAATTCTCAAGAATTTTCGCGATAAATTATCACACATAAAGATATGATTTATTTTTGTCTTTATGCATACATGTGCACTTTAGAATATATTTTTATTAAATCAAAATCAATACGACACTGTGAGGCGTGATGGGTTGGATAATATTAGACAAGAAAATATATTTGACTTAGTACGTTTAGTTCAAAGGAATTTAAAGGCTCTTAGGGAACCAAAATAAGCTTATGCATGTTGGTCAAAACCATCCCTCGCGCAGTTCTATATTTATATATCGTAAAGTTAGAAAAGGTTATGTATAATCAAATTGGAATAATTTCAATTTGAAAGGGAACTCGTAGCGCTATTTAAGCATTCCATAATATATTCGTAGTTTCGATGATGATAGTTTATAGAGCTATAAAATACACTGTTCATAACGTTGCCTTCATAAATAAATAGTCCTTCACAAACTAAAAATGTAAAAATATTTGTTATATTTTTTCAGCCCTACCGAACTACTCCGCTGGTATTGCCCGGCGCCAAAGTTAAAAAGGATGCTCCTACCACAGAATCCTATCTGAGACATTATCCGAATCCGGCCGTGCGTGCCCCGCCCGGGCACGATTATCACGATAGTGTGATGAAACAACGTGTTGCTGATACTATGTTGCATAAAGTTGTTGGTCCAGATGCCGATTCCGGACGAGTAAGTTTCCTATATTTTAAATTTGTAGAACTAATACTAGTGGGAAACTATGCATTCGCTTAATTTGCATTTATTTTTAAAAGGTGTTCCATAAGCAATTCAATTCACCCATTGGTTTGTACTCAGAAAACAACATTGAGAACACCATACGTCAAACAGTTCCGTAAGTACAGCAACTTCTTACATGTTTCTTTTTATTCTGTCTGTTTCTCTTTTAAAAACGAAACTAAATCTCCTAAGAATGAAACTGAATTTAATAAATTTTAACAGCCATAATGATTGTAAAACTAATTAGCGTTAACTCAATGAATTAGCTTTGGCTTTGCAAAACACAATTATGAAATAAAAATAATGCAAATTGTATTTACTACTCAGCCTAATGCGCAATTAGGTAACAAAAATCTTTCTATTTCTATTTATCTTTTATAACACGTTTACGAGTACGAGTTCTAATAAGTTTTTTATTTATCTATTTTTTTTTAATATCTGTATATATATAAAACCACAAACCACCATCACAACAACAACAACACAATGATTTTTATATATAATATATATATATAAATATATATATATAAAATAAAATAAAAAAAATGATATAAAAAAACTTAAAAATAAATCAAAAACAAATCGTTGATTTAATGCTGTTCTAACCTCGTTTGTACGACCTTATGTAAAACAAAAACAACAAATTGTGTTTTAAATGTATGTTATATAGTGTGAATCCTCCATTAAGGAAGAGCGTCTTTAATCGTCCTTTGCCGACCAAGCTTGATGGGTAAAAAATAAAACTAATAAATAATAAATTTTGGTTTTTATTCATAAGTCAAAATTTCATTAATTCATAAAATATTCTAAATTAATTTTTTTGTTTCATTATGATCTTTTCAAAAAAAATCAATATCAATATTATATTTTTCGCATTCCTCTGCTCTGTGGCTGTCAGTGACCCGAAAAAAATTTTCATTCATTTCATACATACGACGAACTCTGCTTGTTACTGCATTCCCTTCACCTCTAAAAACCTACTTGATCGTTGCACTTCTACATATCCTGTATATATACAACTCTCACTATTACACTATCCTTCGTCCCGGTAAGAGACAAGTCTTTAAAAATTGAACAAAAAAAAATTTGTTTAGTGTTTTTTTGTAGTTTACAATATTGTTGCGCGATTTAAAATTCCGCTGGAAAATTAGCCTTTTTCGGGTTAGAAGTAGCAACTTAGATTGATGATTTCATTAATCTTCGTATTTTACTTTTTAGCAAAGGAACATCGTAGATATATATACGAGCCATTCCATTGCAAAAATGTTCGGACTATTAGTGAAAAAAGCATTCAGTGAATCCACTTGTGCGTCAATTTCATATATAGTTCGCATATAGACAAAACTCAAACGTATAATATCAAGCGCCACATTCTCTCTTTTAATATCCAGAATTTGCACAATAAGAGATAAACAAAGTCCGTCTTTATCTAAGACGAATTTTCCATTCTTCTCATTGCAAACTTTTTATAAGCGAATTAGTGAATCGATTGGAATCATTTTCCCTCCACATATCTATGCCTTCATTTAAATTGGTTTAATACGTTTGTGATAATTTAGGAGATCGATATCTGACAGAAGTCAAAGGTTATTTATGAGAAAAAATTTGTAGATTTTCGCTTTAGAGATCGCAAGTGCTTTAGAGATCGTATCTAAACTTAGAACTCTACCAATTGAATAAAGATCATGGAATAATATAATAGGGTATAAGCTTTAATTTTTTTTTTTTTTTTGGTGATGCTTTGGATGGATGATGATTTCGAGGAGATCGAGTAAGCTCTAGTAGGTTATTACTAATAAACTCTAATAAACGAAATTATTGCTATTGGCAACACTGCACGGATGAAGGTCAGTGAGTAAGATGTGATGGGCTGATAAAGAAGAGGGCACCAGAGGGCACTTAATGGAAAAGAACTTATCGAAATATTAAATTTGAATAAATGCAATGTAGGCAATAGAAGCACTTGGCAGAGAAAGATATATTGAATGTTTCCTGTGCTCAAAGCAAGAAAATTAGTAGCAAGTTCAAGACAGAATAGATGGAATTGTGACAGGAAAGCGATGGTCTGTGATTATCATCTCGCTAAAACAACGAAAAGAAACTTGTTTGCGTTATTATGGGAAGGTTTTCCTCCTCGAAGTAGTAGTTTTTACTTTCCTTCTTTGCTCCATCTGTGGATTTATTTGTAGACCTTATATATTCTATGTGTATCCATTACAATTAAAGAAGCTTAAAATCAGTTTTCACTTTTTTCGATGTTTTGTTTTACGGATAAAATTAAAGCTTTATCTAGCTTCATGGCACAAACGTTATTATTAAAAAAAGGAGAAGTTGTTCTGGTCACGCCGAATCGTTATGTGTCTAGGATTTCCGACAGAGCAAATTACATACATAATTGGATTTACGACTAGGCTATCATCATATCTTTAAAAATTTAGCAAATTCCGTATAGGTAATTGCGAGAAATAAAAGGTAGATATACATGATTTTTATAAATATATTTTTTTTGATTTCATATATGTATATATATTTCGTATGGTATTTGCGGACAGACCTGAGAACTGATTTAGCTCAAATTTCCACTTATCGACACAAGATTAAAAAGTAAAAATTTTCCTCTGCCGATGCTGTATTATGTGTTACTGATCCCGTAAACTATACAGCAAAAATGGTTCAAATTGTAGACGAATAATAATCCGTTAAAATGCCTTGGAATGGTTCCCTTTACTGTATTAATAGTTTGTAATAATTTTCAAATCTTGCTCTTATATGATTTTTTTTTTTAATATTAACCCTGAAAGTATGTATTATGTTTTCTCTTATTATTTGACAAATATTTACAAAATTTTGTAACAACACAACCAGCAAAACCAATAGCATACAAAACGAACAATATAATGAAAACTAAAATAAAAAACAAGCGTGAAAGAAAAAAGAACTTTTCTTTTTTTTTATGAAAAGTAGTCTTAAGAAGAATTAGCTGCACGATTAATATTAGAATTTTCATCGATTTATCTTTCCTGGAGCAAAAATATAAAATACTGGAGCAACAAAAGCAGAAAGAACTAGAAGAACAGCAAAAAAGAGAACAGCGTGGAAAGCAGCTGGAGCAACTGTATCGTCATTAAAAAATCGAGTAGTAACAGCAATAATAAGCAATAACTAGAAAAAATCGAAATTCAAAAACAAAGAAGAGAATCATATAGAAAGCGAGACATTTAACACACTTAACACGCAGTCATCGTAATCCTAATTACCGTGTAACGCTATTCTCATTATCATTAAAAGAGCTTATAAAAACTGTGGCTCTCTCAATCATAAACTCCTTACCACGCTCACACTTAATTGTCGACTTGGATTATTATGTCAACCCCAATATATCTCATTTTTCCTTATCATATCATTTCCATTAATTTATCGTAACCGAAAAAAAATTAAAATATTTCAAAATAAAATTGATTAAGCTTTAAGAAGCTTTTATGTCATGCTACTGCTAACCATGGTTTGTTGATGGCACAAAAGTTCATTTAATTATTTATTTATAAATATGTGCATAAATACATGCTAATTTAATTAGGCGTAAGATTGGTTGCATAACAAAAAATTTCATTTAAAACAATTCGATATCGTGCGTCATTCAGAATAATTATTTCCAAACGTTTAATACTTAAAATTCTAACGGATTTTGTGCACATCCTGTTTCTCTCTCTCTCTCTCTCTCTCTCTCTCTCTCTCTTTCTCTTCGCTCTAAAAAATATAAAAATATATTTGAAAAAAATTTGAAATTCTCGATGAAAATAATAAACAATTTGAACGAAAACAAAAAATCATAAAAAAATAAATAAATTAAATATACGAAACGTCTTAAAAACAACAATCGACCTGTTTTATTATCTTCAACAACGATACCTCCACGATTACCGACCGGCCCATTGCAGTTACAAGAAAACAGTCCTTTATGATCCATCGAAAAGCGAGACATTTAAAGCTATCCAGGAAGAAAGCTATGGTAATACCGACGTTATGCAGGAAGTAACGGTGCCAGTGCAACCGAAGGTCTTCCATCCCAATAAATTGGTTCCAGGAAAGGTAAGGTCGTAAGCTTCTATGTGTCACCATCTGTCATCAATTCAATTCTCAAATTGTTTGTTAAGTGTGTCGGACATGTAACGTTAAAAAAACTTAAAAGAAAATAAAAAAAAAAATAATAATAATAATAAAAGTCATAGTTTAATTATTGTTCCTTCTTTTCTTTTTTATACTGTTTACAATCATATTTGCCTGCAAATTCTTTTAAAACAACGTCACGCGCTCTTTCTTAATCCTTAGTAAAGTAGAAAACTAATGGACTAGTATCATTATAATTTTTTTATTTTTTTCTCTTGGAATCGCATTAACTAAAAGCAATTAACAAATAAATGGTTATGTATACTAAAATTCAAATGTAATCATATCATAAGAAAAAGCAGCAACAGAAACCATTAATACCTATAATCATAAGATCTAAATTTTCCACAAAATTTTTAATGAGAACATTCTCATTTCTTCTTTTATTTCTTCTTTTCAATTTTAAATAAAAAGAAGTCAGTACCAGTATCAACATCAACGCCCGTTTCCCGTCCGCCGTACAATGTAAATGAATTCGAAATTATGCTTGAGATCACTTATCTCTGCTTGATCTATTGTATCTATCATCGAGATTTTTTTTCCCTCTTTTCAGGTGGTAAATACACACGACGAAACTATACGTCAAAGTGGAGCCTTTAATCGCTTGATGTATAGTGTGCTGGGTGCATCGGAATATTAAAACAAAAATATAAAACTAAAAAAAAAACAAAAAAAAAAAAAAAGATTCACCACAAAAAACACTTTGTAATCACCACACTCTACTAAGAAATAATTGTTTAAAAACGTACACACACATACACACAGACAAATTTGTATAAAACGAAAACACTAACGATACCAGAAATTTTTACTAAAACCATATAAAAAAAAAGAAATTGACAAAAACGACCATTTATATGTATGTAATAAACTACGAAAAAATTTGTGTTAGAAAGCTTTTTTTTCAGATGCAACGATAAGTTTTAATAATTATTTCATCTCTATGTTGAATATATTTTAAATTAATTCAAAGAAAAGTTGTACTTGGAAAGAAAAAAAATAATGGAAAATATGTAGTAATAATAACAATAATAATAATTAACAAACCTCTAAACCACCAAACCAGTGATGTTTTATTTAACCTTAAAAATATTAGTTTGGGGAAAAAGAAATCCATTATTTTTGTATGAATTTCAGGACTTTATTTAACATGCTTCGGATTGTCCGCTTTGGGTCAAATATGCACCGTTTTGTTGTATGATTTGTTGCCATTTTAAAGGTAACTTCAAAATGCCTCTGTCATAGAAGTCCTGGTCTCTATTTGCAAAAAACTCTAGTAGTCGATTTTCACAATCCTCCCTAGATTCCAATTTTTTATCATTAAAGAAATTTTGCAATGCAAGAAAAAGATGATAATCGCTTAGTGCCCAGTCCGGACCGTATGGCGGATGCATTAAAATTTCCCAACCAAGCTCCCGAAGTTTCTGGCGAGTCACTGTAGATGTGTGTGGCCTAGCGTTGTCCTGGTGGAACACGACACCTCTCCTGTTGGCCAATTCTGGCCGTTTCTGGTCAATCGCTATCTTCAAACGGTCCAGTTGTTGACAGTAGAGATCAGAATTTAGCGTTTCGCCATATAGAAGCAACTCATAATAAATAATCCCCTTCCAGTCCCACCAAATGCATAGCAAAACCTTCCTGGCCATTTGAGGTGCTTCACCGCTCTTTGACCACGATCGTTTTCGCACAGGGTTATCGTATGTGATCCATTTCTCATCTCCAGTCACCATCCGTTTAAGAAATGGGTCTATCTCATTCCGTTTGGCCAAGGCTTCGCAGATGGAAATTCGATCCATCATGTTTTTTTCTGTTAATTGGTGTGGCACCCAAACATCGAGCTTCTTTTTGAATCCAGCCTTGTGTAAATGGTTTAAAACTGTTTTATAGTCGATTTTTAGCTCCTGGGCGTTGTTACGACTGCTAACATGCCGGTCAACTTCGATCATTTCCCCGATTTTATCGACATTTTCGACGACCGGCCTACCTGTGCGAGGTGCATCTTTAACATCAAAAATTCCTGAACGGAATCTACGAAACCAAAATTGCACATAATTGGCTGTTACAGTATCGGAACCATAAACACCATTCACAATTTTGGCCGCCTGGCTTGCATTTTCGCCTTTGTCAAAGAAAAACTGTAAAATGTACCGAATTTTCTCTTTGTTCACTTCCATTTTTAACACGTTGTAACTCACAACTGAATGCACCAAACAAAAAACAGCAAAAGAATTTTTTTTACTGCGAAATGTCACCTTTCCAACGAGAATAAATTTGAAATTGTTTGATCGATACTTTACGAGAAATCTATCAGTGCAGCATTCTACCGAAAAAATAATGGATTTCTTTTTCCCCAAACTAATATATTTCCAAATTTACTGATCTTTTATATATAGTTCAGCTCACGGCATTCTATAATTAATAGTTCATAGGCCGATTGCGTTTTGCTGTGGGCATTATGTTCATAGGATTTCTCTTGAAAAGATCACATCAGTCTAGCGTAACAACTTCACTATAGGCGGATTGTAACTAGACGTCGTTGGTTGAGATACGATATGTCTATGGTGTTGTGAAATGCGCACGGCTAATAATTGCCAATACAATATTTCAAGTGAGGCGAGTCGTTATGTTCTAAACGTCAATTCCGTGAAAAAGCTTGAATATTTTGCGCATCTAATACCCCCATGCGGAATTACACGATTAAATGATAATAAGCTCAAATCAGTGTCACGACCTAACCTTAGAAGTTCGTGCAATTGGTGCCGTATTAGAGGAAAGTGGTTTGATAAAGCAATATTGGGCCTTGTTACAGGATGATCTGTACTTCTATTTTAAAAAATAATCGGAGATCATAATTGAAAGTAAAGCGAAGCGCTTTAATTTAACCGTTAAAGGGAGTAATACACTTGAAAGATTCTTTCAAGGTATTGCCTCAAAAATACCCTCCGAAATACATATTTCGACTCCCGTAGGGCGCAAGGTGGCGTAGAGCGCCTTGAAGACGATTATAGTGCAATTGTAAAAGAGCTTAGTTAATTACATCCATCACTCAATCTATGTGTTATAGAAACTATGACAACCGTAACATTCCGGACCCTAAGTGTAATGCTTCGTTTGGAAGAAAAAAAGAGAAAAAAAAATGAAACAATTTTTAAACTTCTTGCGTAAGGTTGTCAGGTATTAGATTTCATTACAATATAGAGCGTGGACCCATCCGTTTACATATATATATAAGAGATACGTACTGTGTATATGTATATATGCATATATATAATGTAATCTAGCAAAATGTATGAACTAATCGTCTGGTTAGCTTAATTCAGCTCGATGTACGAGCTGGCAGGGAGATTTTGCAAAAGAAATATTTGCGACCAATCATAAAGCTTCGAACCAAGAGATTTCAATTTTTAGGATTACGGATGAAAATCATTATTTTTTTGTGAATCTTTGTCAACTGATTCAGTTCACGAGAATGATAATTGTTTGTGGTGATGATATTTTTTTTAAAACAATAGGGACAGAGGGCAGAGTAAAGCTAAAGTAATCCGCCCGAGGGGCCGAGTAAAGAAGGGTCTCAACTAATAACTTAATGGTCATGGGTTCAATTTTCAAGTGTGGAAAGTTTTCGAGACGAAAACCTTAGATGCTAGTGTTTTAATACTTTAGTCTGAGAATTTATTTCTCTGGTTAAATTAATAATAATAATAATAATAATAATAATAATAATAATAATAATAAAGCTAAAGTGCTTGCATTATTTTTTCGATTAAAAATATGGTTTTGATTGGTTTACGACGCATTGCAAATATTTCAAAATACAAGAAAAAATTAAGGTAATCTTCTTATTAACATTAGGTAGAAATGCTTGTATGCGCGATTGCCCATCCGCTAATCTCCTCAAATTTCGAACATAATGCACTCTTGTTGTGCTTGTCGGTTGCAATTACAATTATTTGTAGACGGTATTGAACTCAAGGACACAATTCATCTCAAGGATACATGTATTATCCCGTTCAATAATTCTTCGAAAAATGTTGCGATATGTGTAGCCAGAGCGAATCAACCGATGGACGTAAGTGAAGATCTCAAGAACGTCAATATTAACACTTGAAGAGAATCTCAATCAGAGTAATCAAATTAGTGTATAGGCATTCATAAATGGAGGATGCCAAAAAATCTAAAGTACTTATTAAAAGAAGAATTAAACACAATTAGACTGGACTGGTTAAGTAATACATAATAAGTATGCATAGCAAGTGGTTATAGGACAAAAACTAAACGTCATGTATCGTATATTATGCGATGAAAATCATCAGTTATCATATGGTGATATCAGATATCAGTCAGCATCATTTAAATGATTGATTTTATGCAAAAGCAAAGTGTGCATGAATGAGAAACGCACGAACCAACGAACGAACGAACGGGCGGATAATGATGACAAAGTGAACTTTTCTAACTAAGCGTATGACAAAATGATGCGGTTAGATGTTGTAAATAATATAATTTTAGGTCAACTGTGGTTAACGGTTAATGAAAATAAGATGTGTAATAATGTTCAACGTTTGACATCGTTATCGTATTGTTTTGTGAACGTAATAATTGCATTAAAAAGGAGAAGTACTCGATGAAATGAAATGATACATTAGAATATTGTTAACAAATAAGTTAATAAATGATTCTCAAAATTATAGCAATATAAATGAGTTTTCTTTTTGTTCGCTCCGTTGCTTGCCGGTTTTACCTGTCTCACTGCCCGACAATAAGCAAAAGAGAGTAAATATGAGTATATGTGAGTACGTGTAGCGCATTTGCCGCAAAAAACTATTCAATTTTGAACGTGTAGTAAATAACAATAACAACAACAACAATATCATTAATAAAAGTAATCACATTGGCTCACGGATATTAAACAGACAGAGCTGGGCTTTGCAAGCAATTTAATTAATGAATGCAGCAATAGCAACAGCAATAGCAAGAGCAACAGTAACTACAGCAGCACAAGTAACGAAACAAACAGCAGCAGCAGTATTGGTGGTTTTGCTATGGCAAGACTTTAAAGACAAGGCACTAGGAGGAGGAGGGGGCGAGTTTTTGGCCGTAGCTTTGCAGCGAAACCATTATCGACTCACCTATAAAAGCATTACCTCCGGTTAATGCTAAGTGCAGATACATTTTTAATCAATTGGAATACGGACATATATTTATATATATCCACAAGTGATTATTTGGTTTAAGAAATTAAATCAAAGAAAAGTTTTAAATTAAAAAACGGTTAAAAAGCAAAAAAGCGCAACTCATATTGTACCTCACTCTCTCTCTCTCTCTGTCCTTCTCTCTTTCCCATTCCCAAAAACGGTA